CGCATGCCCCGCGTCCGAGAGGGATTTCAATCTACCCGCCAGTGCGTGAGAATAAAAATGTGCCTAGCTACCCGCATTAACCCGAGCCACGAAATTCAAACTTTATGTTCGCCACCGAATATAGCGAACCGCATGATCTGTACCGAATATATATAAAATTACAAAGGCTTACAATGATGTAAGTACATATAGTAACTATTTGTCTTAATGAACTAAAAGTGTTGTAAGAGTAGCATGTCCTATCAATAAGCAGGAATGGAGTTGGCAAATTGAATTGAATAAAACACACAAGTCCGCTAACGAGCCGGTGTTTACCCAAGTGGACACTAATTGGCTTAGCCAGCGGTCGCCGTCGCCGGAACTCTGAACACAGAATGTTTCACTAGGAAATAGAGTTGGCAATTCTAATATTTAAAAAATGTCTAGTAAATGTTTTTATTTAAACTAAATTCACTGAAGTCAAATGAAACAATACTACCTTTTAATTATTTTTTTAGTCGATTATTGAATGTGACATGAAGTAAAATTAAAATTTGTTCTATTCTTAAATATTATTTATTGTTTTGTAATAATCAACTATAATTTTTGTTTAATTTCCGATCAATTTTGATTTGTAATAATTTTATGCCGCATCCATTCCAAATTCTAATCAAATGAACAACGTCGAAAAGCATTTGGTCAAGGCGACTTCAGAATGAAAATGCAATCACTGTAACTAGACGCGTGTCTTATGTTACAGTTCCTTTGTTTCAACATTGTTAATATACTAAATTAACCATAACATTACTTATTTTCTCTTGCATTACATAAATAGACCACATTACATAAATCTTAGAACAAACGGTAGCACGAAATACATTGTTACATCAAACAAACCTCTCAGAAAACATTTAATTTGAAAAAAGTAATACATACTTCAATTCGAGGCAAGTAATTTTGAAAACGCCGCAAGGTAAAAGCTAACACAGTCATACTTCTATTATTTACCCTTCGCAGCGAAGAACGCAAAGGAAAAATTTAAATAAACAGCAGGTGGTTTACAGGTTTGCAATTGCCTTTAAAATAAAGACGTTAGATATTTTACAGAGCAGCACATTCTGTTTTGTTATTAACATTTGTAAAAAGTGTACGAATTTTAAAATATCCAAATAATTTTCGAAGCGTTATCTTAATCTTATTTAAATTAGAGACTAATTTAACAATTCTGTATAACAAATAAAATTGTGTATTTTAAAAGAACAAAAGAATCTAATATTGTGTTATGGCAATTTATTTCACGTCAACTAGATCAAGAGATATTCCACATTTAGCTCGACGTCACGTTGAAGTCAAAGAAACGACGACAAACAATATGTACGGTATTCAGTGTGCGAAAGTAATTTTAGAAGTGTTAATACAAACGGGGTGCGTCGCTCTCCGGCGACGGCGGTATCATTGGCTTGTATCTTGTGTTCAATTTGCATATAAATTGTGTCTTCCGGACAAGCCGTCAAGACACGCGTCGCCGATGTGTCCACCGACTCTCCATTATTGCATACTTTGACTTGGGTTGCTTCAAAGGTGCTTTATCATTTTGTTTATCATATTGCGTCATGTTTTTATATGTTCATTTTTTGCAAAACAAATAAAATAAGGAAGAAAATCTTAGAATTTAAGGTTGAATATACGAGTAAGTGTGGTTGAATGATTTGGAACCGGTTACAACGTCCAGAGTAATAGTAACTTATAGGAGCCATAGCCATGTCATGCTTTAATAAAATATAGTCTTCTTTAGCTCTTATGCTTTCTTCGAATTTGTACAGCTTAATCTTACCAATAACCCCATCTTCTTGTATTACCCATCGTCCATCCGTTACTCCCAATATGGCTGTAGTGTGTACTGTCCGATTATTAACATAACAAGTAAAATTCCTACATTTAAAAAACCATGACATAAACATTTAAATAATGTGTTGGATCACAATTACAAAGTTTGTATTGTTATTTTGAATAAAGATAAATGGTATTGATTTATAGCACAGACTAAATTACCTTTAAGAATACAGAATTCATCAAATTAGTTAAAAAGCTATCAAAGTGATATATAATACAAATTCTAAATTTAAACGAAAGTCGACGAAGTTTAATTCACAACTTGATACTAACATTGTGCTCTCATACCAAAATAACACTCCAATATATTTTTAATTGATCACGAAATTTAATACCGGTAATAAATCTATCCTTTTATCGTCACAAAGTATAATTAACGTAAATATTAGTCTTCATCAGAGGCGCCTCCACTGCGTACGTCACGGAGCAATAAAACGATGAAAAGAAGCTAATTTTTTAGCGAATCATCTCCGGCCCCCATAAAGTCATCAATATTCATTTTGCGGCGCGCCTCCGAAACAAACACCTTTCCGAAGTAGCAGCTCGGGGCCTTTGAAGGGAACTATGAAGCGGCTGACTGTGCCCACCGCCACTCGCTAACTCAATTTGTTTGGATAATTGCTTTGTTTCACGAACGTGCTCCACGCCAATAAATTGTTTCGCTTTAACGAATAAATTACTGAAATATCATAACTAGTTTGATGTGCACAAAACAAACACAACTCGTTCTACGTTTTATCGTATGTAGGTAGATATGATGTAATAAACGCCATATTTATTTATATTTAGGCCATAGAATACCTGAGACCTATATTATGTAGCATTAAAAGCAATCAATAATCCGGAAATAATTTTACAGAGGTAATTTCGATTCTATATAAATTTTATCGTTTCGCAATTTTATATTTTCAACATTATCTAATGTGGATAGCTCGTAAGTGAAATAAAATCAGAGTGCAATAAAACATTTTACTTGATCTATTTAGTAAACGAGGTAATTACATTTGGAAGTTATCGTCAATAAGGTAGCCGGTGCCGTATAATTTGCGTAAGGTCCGGTCACCGGGCGGCCCGCAATCCGCCCCTCTACGAGCTACGAGTACTTTCCGTAGCACTTCGTAGTGCCGTCGTAGTAAATCTTGTATTTACATATAAATTGTGTACCACATATTGAAAGATACTGTACATACATATGCATTTGGATTTAAAAAGACATTTAAATTATGATTTTGATTTTCAAATATTTTTAATAAGCCGCATCTGCTGTTGACGTAAGGAAATCGTTCATAAATAACTATTTCTGTTTGTTACTACGTAGCAAAAAACATATACTTTCGAAATCCTAAGATTGAATATATTGGTACGTTATTAAGAATCTTTAAAAACCAAATAGTTGTTAACGACTCTGTATTAGGGAAAAGTGACGAAATAACGTAGTATTGTTGAATTCATTTTTAATTTAAAAAGATTGTGGCAGATGAGGGAGGTTGTCGCCAATGCACGTACGCGCTGTCCAGTCGCCACCGCTGCCGTTACCCACCGCCGACGTCATTACTGCGGCTTGGCGCCAAATTGCGACATCCGCAGCCAGTTTCCAGACTACTTCCTACCTTGTTAAATTAAACCAATTCTATTTATCTTTACTTGTTGTACTTAAATAACATTGCCGAGTAATTTGTCTCCAGTACATTAGAACCCACCCTCAAATACCAACAAAAACATAATTATATCCACCGTTTTATTTATGACAGTAAAATACACCTTCTCTGGCTCTTTAAATACATTTTCTGACGTAATTTATGTTTTAGTGAATCATTTGATCAATAATTATACAGATTTGCAGGTTGGGATTTCATTTCACACAATTACGCAGGTTCAGCCTCGTCTCTCCGGTCTCGGCGCGCTCGTTGTCCACAGTAACAAGCTACTCCTGTTTACTTTACCGCAATGAATTCCTTGCAATATTTTGTTCGTTTATTTTTCTTTAAAAATTTTTTGAATACATCGAGTACAATTCTCGGTGGCGGTTGCGCGCCCCTGGCAATCTCCAAATTGCCTCTTTATGTGCAGATGTACCGACCCTCGGTTTTTCCGTCTTTTGAATGTCATTTTGTTGTTAAATAACGTGCTCTCCTATTGTAATTTGAATCTTTAAGTTCATATCCTGTCAGCATCGGATTTCAGAATTATTTTTATAAATTACTCATTTTTTTATTAAATATTATTTGACGTACAATGATTAGCGTTATAAGTACTTTCAAACGTCAAGAATTACAACAAGTAATCGCGGTCGCCTTATCAAAAATGTAATATTTTTAACGAAAGACAAGTAAAATTAGGACTGTATCAAAATTCCTATTAAATTAGAAAAACCCTGGAGAAAAACGTAATACTTTGAAATGAAAATTAGGTAATGTATATTATTTCATACCTCAATATTGTCGCTCTCCTCAGTGCCCACTCAACTTACAAAAGCAAACAAAAACTGGATTTTTCAAATTACTTCTCTGAAAACGATTTTCTTCGAATTTAATTCCACTAAAAGATCACAATTACACGTTTTATAACATTCGAACTCATTTATTTTTTTGGAATAAATTATTTTCGTCAAGAAAATTAATTCCTTTGGATTTTGCTGCTTTCGAAATCTGTATAAACTCAAGAAACATTTCATAAAAAAATATTAGATGTTCCGAGGGCCTGCGGCCACCGCCAAATTACGTTTTTTATTTACAAGTACTTAATGTTTTTTAAATAAAGCTGCTATTCTTAGTGATTTAGTATGCTTATTATTGTAACTTTTGTTCAAATAACCATTATTGTTCAACAAATTACATTATTTCGATTTTGCACTAATTGTTAACCATTTTTAGTATTAAATAAATTCCATTAGCACATTAATAAAGGACATTATTAATAGTCGTCCACTGCTCAGTTTATTCCCATATAAAACTTAATGGGACGTCAACAATCTCATCTATTGACCTTGAATTCTTAATAAAATTCACCTTTGAGAAACCTTCCCTTTTTTTAGCTTTAAATACTTGAAATAAAAAGAACTTCTAACACACAAATACTTTATTAAATAATAATGTTACTTATCTCTCCTCGTCAGCTAAGTTGCAGTCTTAGAATAAGAAATAAAACTGAAACAATAATAAAATATATCAAGCGCTTTAAATGCGCTAAAAGTACTTAATTGCAATAAATTAGTGTTTAATTCGGTCATAAGATAAAAAGAATACTTACATTAGGATCTTTTTCATACGAACATTTGTGTACATCAAAAACCCTTTGATATTTATCCTTGTCAGGTGTATCTAAAAAAATATTTTTAAATCATATTCATTCAAGAAAAATTAAATGGCTAATAAGCTACTATAAAAAATAAAATATTTACCCAAATGTTTGCAGGAAAATATCATTTTATGAACTCTATCGAAATACTGCTCGGGTATAAGGCTGACCATCATATCGTAGTCTACGTTACCTTCATCGTCGATCTAAACAATAACGTTATAACAGATTATGTAACTTTAAATGAGTGTGGATGGGTATACCGGTAGAGGTAGACTAAGGAAAAGATGTATGGATTGCGTTAAAGGTGACATGATCAAGAAGGGAGTACTGACTGAGATGACGTATGATAGTTACGTGGAGAACAAAAACCTGTTGCGCCGACCCTACAGGACTAGGATAAGGAGGAACAAGAAGAAGATGATGATGATAACTTTCAATGAGATAAAATAATATAATTGAATCATTAAATAATATATATGATAAAGTCACTCACAAGACTGGCTTCCTCTAACAAACAGTACATATACCACTTCAATTTCGTGTCTTCCTTAAATATGCCGTTTTCGCAATTCGTTATATCCTCTGGGGGCAAGTAGAATAAAGACTCTTTAATGTACACAAATATGAGACATGTTTTCACAAGTAAAGGTAACCTAAGATATGTAGAGGTGACGTAAATTTTATTTTATCAAATGTTACATGAAAGAAATGATGTGATATATTTAATAAAAAAAATGAGACATATATAATATGAAGCACTTTCTAACTATTTCAGAGGATTTGCTTTATTTATAATATGAAATGAGATAAAACGCAGTCCGATTTTCTTTTCTAATCAATGTTATTTATTCTTCATTTTATGTCTAAAAGGTTAAAGATTTTCCAGCAACTTAAAATAATACAAAAAGGGGCTTTCTAAGACAATCGTAGCACTACAACGCGCAGCTTAGCCGTGGCGAATGTTTCACGTCACTCGCATGCGAGCTCAAAACAAAGGTAAACGGAAATAAAATTTTCTTTAGTGAACTCACCCTCCGCTACCCCGGTCTTAGCGACGCACTCGTTGTGAACATGCTGGATTATTTCTTTGATTTCATCACTTAGTTCCTGCAAACATGTTTGAATAATACATCTGTAGTTTCATTACAAAATTTTACTCAACTCCCTACTTATTGCCTTTGTCTCTACTTCTGTACAAAGAAAACGGAGATCTAGTAAACTGCTCTTGGTCATTATAATTTCTTATTTACGTAAACTAAATTAATTTGATTTTAAATGGAATGACTAAATGTTAAATAACCACTATTGATTATATTTTGTATTCATATTAACTAGTATTTTAAAGTCTGATCTGCAAAACTTTTTAATTAACTTTATAATTAGAACTAGTGTTTAGAAGACATTTTTCTTTTTCTTAATGTTAATTGTAAAACAAAACCTTAGCTATACAGTATCTTGTAGGCTAAATATAAATTAATACAAATCTAAGAAGGAGAGAACTCATAAAAAATCACAAGTTAAAATTTTTATATGTGAAATTCACATACATATTAAAAATCTCCACTTAGTTATTAAAATATGTAAAAGAATGGAGCAAAGATTAATCCCGCTTAGAACCCCTAAAAATGATTCATACACGTATTCAATGTAGTTTCATTATTCAGTCCCATAGTCCGCCTAACCGTGATACATACATACATACGTTACCTTTGTGAGGAGCGCGAGGGAAAGCAGTCGCTTCAATATTAAAAATGAGATAACATTCTCAAAGAAAAATTATTAAGTCGAGATTCCATTGGGACCGACCCAATGCGCATCAACTTGTAGCATAACGTTAAATATTAATTTAAACGTCGCGAACATGTTTCCATTGTCGTCTCGGAATATTTCTACTACATTAGCAGACATATTAAAGTTCGTACCCACAGCATTATCATCTACAATATCTTATGGTTTTTAAAAAAATAGGTATGAGTATTATGGTTATTAAACCAAGCAATTATAACACTTTAAAGGTGTAAACCACATAAATTAAATTATTCGCAATCGATATGTATTAAGACGACTGAGTCTTTATTAGATGATTACTTTCAATAAACGACTTCATGGTGTTCCTGCTTTTGTATAAATATCTGCAGATGAAGTTCATCGTGTTTCAGGTCCTATTGTGTCATTGGGACCGCGCATCATTGTCAACGGGACTGTCGGAGGCCGCGCCCTCTGCATTTAGTATTCGGAGACGACTTTGAGCAATAATGTCTCACTTGTATTCCCATACTGTCACTCATCCATCATCCCGCATACATCCCACGCGACGCACTAAAACGTTTCATAGACTACGCGGCACGTATGCTTCACGTGAAAAATTGACTTTGTTACAATCGTGCCTCTAAACGCCTTTAGAGGGTTCCTGTGTGCTGTCAAAACGAATTTCTACTCTCTCTATTTTACGGTTATCTCAGCATCACGAAATATTTATCAAACAGCGTGTGATTTGACTTAAGAAAAAGTAAGAAATAGTTCAGACGAACACGCAAGAAATAGAATTAGACATGTGTGAATTTACACAATGGTGTATGCGCAAAAAGCAATGGTGTCAACTATCTTCTCATCTGAATATAGGAAATCTTTTTAGTATCATCATGTTAGTATTTTAATCTTGAATTGAATGCAAAAAAATCTTACAGGTTTTTCCTTCCCCGTACGGCCAAAGACAATCAAACTGAAGAAGACCGGCAGCGTTGCCATCCACATGGCGACAAGCCGCCTAATGTGTCATATAGCGTATTGCTATGCTTATATTACCTGATGCTACTCGATACGGGCCGTTAATTGGTGTAGTTGGCGGTAGATGACAATTAATACATTAACAAGACGCAGCGGTTTTGTCGCAACACAAGCTGTAATCATGGTACGGCGAGGCGAGGCGGCGACTGGCAAGTTTCCGGCGCATGAATTACCACGGAGCTGAACACAAGACTGCAATTAGTCTCAAATTGTCTCTTAAGTATTCAACAATATTATTGTAAATTACATTGCGTGTTGATGTGATGAAATGTCGCTAAGAATTATTTGAGATCAAACCTCAAAACGATATCTCAAATCATATCTGATTTTAGTGTAAGTGTAAAACGCTTGATCTTTTCATTAATATGTTTTTATAGTTTAACATGACAATCTAATTTTGTAACAATTGTATTGTTACTTAAAATATCATAACTTGTTTCATTTATGTCAAAATTTTACGTCCGCGCCCTAATGGTTTACAATACGTCAGGAACCCACATCAGCTTTAACGATAATTAATAGGTAGTTAACTGACAGCTTACAAAATAATTCACCCTTTTAGCAATTTCAAACCATCAGATACGGATATTTCACATTGATGGATAAAAATATATAGTATTAAGTTCGTTCAACCAAAAAATTAATATATTTCCAAAAAAAAAAGGTATGAAAGCGTTTGTACAAACTGGTTGTGATAACGGATTGGGATTTATATTGATGAAATATGTATTAAACGTTTTAGTAATCTCGCACGCATACCTATGCCGTGTTCAATCGACATGAAAAATCCATTAGGGTGTTTTGCGTCGGCGATCGGCTCGCTACGGCGGCGCACTGACCGTGCTAAGCGGATTGCGCTCTCCTCTCTGATGCAGCCCCAGCTACGGCTATGGCAGACAGTCATGTCTGCATGTTGTTATTTTATACACTAAAATACGATACAAAAACGTCGTTCGTTTTTTTTTTCAATTATCTTGATAGCGTGAACATAAATTAGGTTGCGAATCGATACTTGTTTTTTATTGGTACTTTTTTAAACATAGCGTGGAAATAGCACCATTTAAGGTAGAATATGTACAGAATCATAAAAATTTCCCTAGTGCCTAGTGCAATTGGGGGGCTAATTATTTTGAAATACATTCATTTATAGTTTACTAGCACAACTTGGATGTTAAAAAATATTGAATGTGACCAAGTTACTACCTTCAGCATCCAAATTAGAAAGTTGCTAGCTTTAACTAGTTTCAAGTGACGAGTGTCTTTTAAAAAGCGGGACATGAAGTCGAGTAATTAAAAAGATACGCATTAATTTGTAAAGAAATAATTATTCGAAGATACCGAGTAGGAACGAGTGGAGAGACGTCATTACCGCAATCAAAGCACCCGAAGCCGCAGCGGTCGCACCCCGCCCCGCGTCCCACTCCGCTCCCCGCAGAGCCCCGCTAACGACGAGTGCTCTCGATAAAAATTAAAAACACGTGCAAGCCCAGCCTGAGGAAAGTTTTAATGAGAGTACACGGCCCGTGCTACACCGACAGACAGTCTACCTACTTGTATATACTGACTTGTGTTGTGTGCAAACACTTTTTCCAAATTAGATATCAAAGCCCTTCTTTGAACCTCAAATGATTATTGTCTTTGTTGTTGCGTTTGTAGCATTATGAAAGAATAAAGGATAAAAACCGTCGCCAGGCTTCTGTTTCGAAACGCAATTTTGCAACCTATTTAAACAGATAAATAATTTATAAATAATTAATAAATAGTTAATCAATTCTTTACAGGACGTCGAAAGTTCGTTAGTTAATTAACACAGAAAAAAATACTGTCTGTTGCAGCCATTGGATTAAACTTATTGGTTTTAATTGAATTTTGAATAGCTACGCAATCACTAGTATATCTTATACTGTAGACAAGCTTTATGCTCTCAGAGAGGAAAGGACGAAACAAGTGTGATACTGTAGGTGAGGACTCTCCTCTATACAAAAAAACTTGCTTAACGACCATCAGCCACATTTGGTTTTATGTAATCCTAGTAACAAGTTTCATATAGTTTTATTTCCAAATACACAAAAAAGTTAAAAAATAAAGTAAAAACTAAATAATTTATTACAAATGAAATTCTTTTAAACAAGTGAGTAAGAGTATTTTAACAATTTATTTTAATTTTAATAAGTATAGGAATAAAATATTAGGAAGCGATTACGAGTTGTAGCTTGCAGTGCATTTACTATGATAGCAACCAGTTGACTGTGCCTAAGGGGATTTATTTTTGTTTCTTTGTATAGATATTCATGTTGATGGATTTTATTTCTCTTTGCTTTGAGTATATGCTGCTATTTATAAAAATGAAATCTAACAGAATTTACGTTTTAGCATTATCTGGAACAAACTGTTCAACGAATTAATTTGTATATTTCTTATATTGTTATATTTAAAACGTAATGCTTCGTATATTTAAACCCCTCTGTGACATTTACTTACTCAAAATTTGTGTTCCCGAAAGTACACATACAATAAATGTTCATATTTCACCAAAATCGTGGTCTCTAGTCTCTGGGGATGTGTGTTCCCAGTTAATCGCTACATTTTGTTTAATTTGTCAAATTCATGTAAACATGGTATATCTGCACGTTGCATAAGCAAACATATTATAACGCAGTCAGTGTGCATAATTTGTTTATTGTGAAATTTTGACAGAATGTACTATAAAAATCTTTATCAACTGTTATAAATTGTTCTCAGTGTAATTATCTTTAGGATCTATTTAAATTCCGGATGTAATAACTGTTACGCAAGCCAAATTATGGTGAAATTTTGTAATAACAGTGAACAAACACCCCAATTCTTCTGCCTCAGTATTGTAAAGAACACAAAAGGCTTTCATTTCATCGTAACCAAAAAAGCAGATGTTTTATTATTCTCAATAACCTTCCCGGCGCGATGCAGTCGAGTAAAAATAGGAATAAATTGTGAGGATCTTTGCAAAACAATAGTTGGAAATGGTATGCGCGAGAAAAAGCCGGATGCAAATGCCATTCATATTAATTAGCAAAGCGAGACGGGGCTTTTACGAAATTAGACCGTGATTTCAGTGAAGATTTATTGTTGTGTTTGAAACAGTTTTTAGAGCAAAGGTAGCCATTTAGACGGGAGTAAATTGGTGTTGTCAAATTGGGCTCCAAATTGAATTGACTGAAGTCTCTTGTTTACTTTGTCCCATTGCGCTGGAAAGAGAAAGGTGCTAATTTCGGTTCTTATTTACGACACGAAGATTGGGGTGCGATGGTCGTGGTGATTAATGTGGCACTTAGCGAGCGCAATCGCCTAATAATAATATGTTACTAGAACATTGTAAGTAATGATGTTAAATGTTTGTATACTCTCGAATTACTTTGTATAATTAATTATACAATCTACAACTGATCCACATCAACACAACTCAAATTGATGATAAATAACGAACGTTATATCGAAAACCTTTGTAAATAACTAATTAGAAACTAAGGTGAAGCACTGTCGACTGCGCCCGGGGCGAAGTTTGCCAAACCTAAAATCAACGTAAATTGATTTAATTCATTTTCCATTAGAACCCACAAAGACCGTGGAGTCTCGGTACCACTTACTATAATAAAATCTTTGATAAACTATCCTTATTCACTGGAAAGGAAATATTTACTGTGAATAATACAACAAAATGCTGATACCTAAACACCATTAGTTTATGACTTTAAATCAACAATTTGTAGCCCGTTTTTTTTACTAACATGATAAAACTATTTATGGAAGAAACGTATTTGATACGTTTGATATAATTCCTTTAAAAAAATCAGTTCCAATTACCAATTTGTATAAGATTACTATGATAACAAACTAGCGATGTTTTAATAGGAAACTATATGAAATAAAATAATCCTGAGTATCCTGGATGCGGGAGGCACAGGACCGATCATCGTGACGATCGTTGGGGGAGGCATATGCCCAGCAGTGGGCGTCATGTGGCTGCCTAGTAGTAGTAGTAGTAGATGAAATAAAATAAACATCTTCATAAATACCTTTATTTTTACTTGTTTTATCAAAATTACTTGTCATTCGTGTTTAACATTCTGAAATATTACACTAGAAAATAAAAGTAATGGCAAGATATGTAAAAAGCAAGTTTTTCGAGAATGGGCATAACATGTTTTATATTAGCCGCGCGCAGTTTTTCCGATGACCCCTACCATTACACCGACAGCGTCCGGCGTTCGTCTACTCTATACAATATTGCGAGAAAACGCATGACGTCATGAGTAAAACTGCACACGCGTAATATTAATATTCAGACAATCTCAAATAAAATGTTAAAATCTAAACTGTACTCTGATATTACCATCACCATATTTGATTTTAAATGCGTTAAATATCTTGTATCATTCTTCAGCAAGACACTATTTTATTATTTAATTTAATAATTAACACCTTGTCGTTGTTAAAAATGATTTTAAAAATATTGTTCAATTGTATTAAATTAAAGATGTCTTAATCATTATAATTTTTGCACAAGTTTTAATTTTATATCATTTATTATCTTTATTCTTAGTCATAGTATCACACAAGTTTTTATATTTAAGTGTAAACTCTATATAACATCGTAACGTTATAAGGAACACGACATTACGGATTGACGTTATAAGGAGCACGACGTTACGGAGTGACGTTATATGGAATTTACACTTTATTACAATTATAAATGCACCGCAAAAAAAGACAAATGAATTAAGACGATTGCTTAATAAAATAATCACAACAAAGCACAACATTAGTAAAATAATAAACAACAAACTATGAAGTTAGTGTAAAGCAATCTCTTTAAAAATCTCTAAAAAAATCTTTTAAAAATATAGTAAAAAAAATGACTTTAAATTATGTAAAAAAAATAGATATAATAATTATTAATAAGATATGACTATTTATTGTTTCGCTTTTACATTTTCCTCGTACAAGTACAGATAATACAATATTGCTGTTATTTTAAGATGATAACTCACATCTTAACTCTGCTGAAATAGCGCAAATGAGCGAGCACTTTAAACATATCCAAAAACTGAAATTTGAATTTTAAATTACAAAGTCAGTCTACTACAGGGAATATTTATTTTATATAAAATAATATTTTTATAATGCTGCTGTTATTGGTAAAACGCAAATATTCACAGAAATATGCTAATAAAAGGATATGTAATTTGTTTTATATTATAAGGGACTATATTTTCATAATGATTATCAAAAATATGTATATGTACAGAAATTTGTGACACAACTAAATTAATTTGCATTTTAAAATATTAAATTCATAATTATAAAGGTATTTTGTGACTTATTTTATAATTTCCGATCAATAAATACAACAAAAAATTAATACTCAAAAATAGCCCCATAAGTTACAAACAGTCCAATAGTAGTTTTCAAAGTTACATAATTTATTTATGACAGTTTATTTACAATTCATTGTGATAAAAACATTCATGATAAGTATATCAACCTACATAATACGATAAGATAATAAAAATCATGTGGAAGGGAAAATAGGCATGTATTTGAGCATCTTAGAGGTTATCATGAAATTTCTTGAGAACATGTTCGTAACATTATGAACAAAAATTATATTAAACTCTTGTAGAAAATTTGTCAATGACGTTACGAAAACATTCATAATAGACGCTCTGTTAAGACACCTGATCATTAAGATTGTTTAGTTAACTAATTACTTATCATTTGCCCTCGTGGACCTTTATTATGCTATATTCATGCTAGTAACATTTGTGATTCACACAAGTTTACATTCTGTTATAAACAGGGTGGAGGCAAAGGCATGTCAATTAATTTGCAAACTTCTAAAAGGAAATTCTTTAAAATCGCTCCTTGGTTACCTCTGGAACCATTTAATGTGATAGTAGGTATAAAAGTTGGTTTAATAATGTCCGTATCATCACCATGTTTCTTGAGTAATGCTGCCCCATGTTCACTTGAGGCACATCTGTTTATTGGTTCAGGATCAACATTCATTTGCTGAGAACACTGAAACAAAGATTGGATAATCAAAAATTAAAACCTTTAGATTTACACATAACAAGGATTGTTCTTATCTTATTATAATAGTTTTATAAATATGTAGAACAAAGAATGTTTTGTTTATTAAATAATGTACAAATAACATTCAATTTAAAAGGTGTATCCACAAATATTTTAAGCAAACTTTTTTTACCCTTTCCAGAGCCTTATCTGCATCCATATTATCCATGATCATGCATTCAGTAAACTTCACAGACAAGGTCATATTGCCCAAGATATCAATTGAACAAGAATGTATTGTATTTGCATAGCATTCTTCTTCACCATGTTGACACATAAAGTAATATTTACCATTTTCTTCCTTCGTCTGTAACATCAAAATTACACTAACAGCCTAACAAATAAATGTGGTATAATGTATTAGTACAAATTTTGGTTATACTCAGTTTATTCCTATAATTAACTTTATATCGCATTTATTTGTTAGGCTTTAAGAGAATATCAAATATCATCAGAGTATCATCTACATTGGTAAGAACTAAGAAATTGATAAGTTTAATTAAAGACAGTAGATTTGATTTCAATGACAACCAAATATTTAAAACAGTAATAGTAAGAAAATAACTTGAAAGGGTACAATCTAATTTTAGTCATTACTAAAGATACCACTAAGATACTCACGCTAGCTTTTCCATAAGGAACCAATGCAACATTCAAAAACTCTGACAACTTCTCCGTTACTGGCCACAAATGCTTGATAAAGAAATGTTTGGAATCTGGACATAACGCTTCATAATACACACGCACTTTGACTTTGTCTTGCTTGTGCTTATTATAGTTACCATCTTCCAATGCGATTATATCAGACTGTAAGAAAAAAATATACTGAACATTGCTCTAACACATCACTTAATCTCAATAAATATTTACATTTATAATCAAATTGTGAGATTAAAAGTAAAATTCTGTACTTTACCCCGGTCAGTTGTGGTGATGATTTTTCCGTTGGTATTAACCTCATAATTTGCCACATAATTAAAATAAGCATTAACAATACAACTAATCTGTATCTAGTACAAGGATAAAAAACCATTTTATAAATGTAAAGTATTTCAGAAAACTTTAAAAGCCAATGAGATCGACTAGATCATAATGATCCCAACTCTTACGTTTAAATAATTGTAAATTAAAAAACAAGTAAGATGAAATCTGAACATGACATTCTTTGAAGTTTGAAAATGTTGATCTTGTCATCACAATCTGTCATCGTTAAATCAATGTGACATATAGAAATATTACCAGTTAAAACCAAAAAAGGTACATGATAGAGCCGAAATTGGCAACAACGGTGTCGCTTGACGAAAGTTTTGCCATTTTTTTTTAATTAACTTTTAAAATCCCCTTGGTCAATTTTACACGAGAATCACAAATGTGTTCTGTGCATGAGATTAAAGGAATTTTGTACTCTGGTATGGCATATATATGGAAGGGATATTTTGAAATGAATAATTCAATTTAAATTAAAGACTAAAATTATTTTATAATTTATTTCAATTATATCATCTTAGTTACTCTGTAAGTAGTAAAACATTAAACTTTTCCATGTCATAGAATCCCGCTTTGACTTGTCTTCCGCCAAAGAATCTTCCATTTAGGTCTACTACAGCTTTTATAGCACTCTCGATTCTTTTAAATTCAACGAATATTCTTACTGCCTCATCATTAGGCGCGTTGGGCATTTCGAAAATCACAACTTTTATGACATCACCATATTTTGTATTGCATTCATCTTTTACTTCAGGTTCGAGCTCTTCGTCTACATCACCAGGTCCAACCATATTCTGAAAAAAATATCAAGTATTAAAAGCACATTCTACAAATTTTGTAAAAAAAAATTAAAAACCGCTTACTCGTAATAGCACCACTTTACTTGGTGACTTCATTATCTCGGTAATTGATGGCTCTGATTTTAGTAACATTTGAGGTGAATTCGATGAAGCATTGGGTGAATCTGTAAACATTATAATTATTTGTAGAAATGAAGTTAAATCTCCACAGGATATAAAGTTTGTAAACAAACCTGGTCCTGGGGGTGGAGGCATAGTAAAGCCAGGGGGAGGCATAGTACTTCCATCTTTCTCATGGATGATACGACCACCTCTTTTTGATGTCTTCTCAACTTGCAAAGCTACAGACATACCCTGTTCCTTCTTCCCTAAACCTTGACCCTCCTGTTAATCATAGATATGAAATATAATAAAAATATAGCATAGAAGCTTACAATTGTGGTATGTTTTAAGAAATAAATGAACATTTTTCAATAATTCGTAACACTTATGTATGTCAATGTACTCATAAAGAGAACAAACCATAAATTCTTTGTTGTGGATTGTTTATTCTTCTCAAGATTTTTAAATATGTATATCTTAATGATGCTTTACCCTTTAACCTTCAATAATTACCTTAAACCCATATTTGGCCATTATTTTGGCAGCAACTGAGCTGGCCCCATAGCCACCAATAGAGAAGCCACCTGTAGGAGCGGCAATGGGTGTGGAGGGAGAAGGTGGTGATGGGGCTGCAGTCTCAACAGTTAGTGATGGTGGGGGGGCTATTGCTGCACCTGCTGCCCTCTTACATATCTCCACAGCCTCCTCTTCTTCTGGTTGCTGGAATAGTTAAATATTTTTTAATCTAAAAGTAATTAATTTTTTATACTATAGTTTATAGCCTAAAATTAAATTTACCATAGGAATTAGTGTCTTTTCCGGAATGGTTTCTTCATCATCACCAAATCTTGATTTACGCTTTCTATCTGCTCTGTCAATTCTGTCACCCCCATCAAGTTGTAATCTTTTATTTTGTATCTCTGAGAAAAAATATATCATACAATATATTACAATATGACAGTTGGATATGGACATTTTTTTCCTTTAAAAACATTACACACTAACAGAAATAGACTAAACAAATAAAACTGTTTCAATATTTAAAACCTCTAAGGTGAAGTGACTTACCCTTTGCCACTTTTTCATAATCATTTGGCCACATGGGATCATACTCATTTGCAACATTCCAATCAAAATCAGTGACATTTAAAGGTGTGTAGTTCTTTGGTTGCATATGTGAATTATTTGAATTGGACTCATCTTCATCCTTTTGTTTACTTTTTAAGTCAATTACTGGAGTAAGAACCTAATCATATTAAGTAACAAAATTTAATAGTAATAATTGGGTAACTATGCAAATACAAAAATGTGGTGTAAAAATACTTGAGTAGAACGCCGTAAAGCTTCTCTTTTAGGCTGAGTTATAGCAGCTTTTTTCAGTTGTAATTGTGATTGCAACAATTTGATACCAGATGACCATGCCGCTACTTTTTCTGTAGTTCGAGTTTTTATCGTATCTAAGTCATCGTATAAAGACATCTTGACTGAAATAAGAGAATCGTTAAGACAAATGTCGGTAATGTTATACTGCTTGACTAAGATTGTTGATTTAGTTTATGTACGTTTTACTTATTTTACAATGACTTGCAAAACATATCTTCCGTGAAACTAGTAATCCCTTAATTATATTATAATATTCACAAAATAACGAAAATCAATTGATTATCACAATCATGAATGACATTTAAATGACATTGACATCTTATCCTAAAGACAGCGCTAGTGCTCAAAGATCAAATAAGGCAGCTTGTAATGACTTGACAGAAGAATTGGACTAATTAATATTTTGCTGGATAACTGAAATGAAAAAATGATAATGTAAATTAAAAAATTAAATGAAAAATAAAAACTGTATAGAATATATTTCTTTTGCAACTTGATAACACTAACTTAGAACTGTAGACCGCCTGTAACTAAAATTATATTGGCCTCTTACAAATATCACTTCCTGTATTTTTGAAAAATTAAGTAAAATAGTTGACACTGACAAATAAATTAATAACTTAAATTATAAATGTTTTAGTAAATTTCAATGATTTTCTCTCTTTTACAAAATAATGGGTATTTTGATAACTAAAGATACAAGAAGAATTAGTTTTGTCAATACTATTGAAATAAATCCAGCATTATTGGTGGAAAAGTCAATAGAAGACCAAGATACTTTTGTGCAAAATAATTTAGAATCTGTAAGTTTAGTGATTTCAAGTAATTTTGTCTTTCTTAAGAAAGCTTCAATTACGGACGAAATTGTAACCTTTTAAGGCAGTCTATTCGATGGAACTGTTCTGACTGAAGTTGTTACGCTTTTTTCACTAAGAAATATGTGTTAATGATAGGAATTTGGTTTAGCCAGCACACAAAAATGATTAAATAAATAAAGATTGTTATTTATTCTCATATAAACTAATATCAATACAACTGTGTATAAAAAAAAGATATTATTTTTATACTATTCTAGACATGTTCTTTTTCTCTACATTCGAACAACTCAAATTAAATTAACTTATGTCATTATTTAAATACGGCCAGTCTTACACTGCAAAACATCAAATAGGTTTCATTTACAACAGTTAATCGTGTCTGAGTTTTTTACAATTTCACTGCGCAACATATTCCTATTGTTTTCATGTCTTTCTCATATTGAAACAAGGCATCTTAAACTCACAATCATAAACTGCTCCTTTCTAAAATATTAAAGTAACAATTTACTGAGTAATTATTCATTCTATAATATTAAATGTGTCTATTGCATCGTTGTTTTGCAGTTGCAGGAATGTGCAGATGAGTTGATATTTGATGAAACCATACCATGTAAAGAAGTTCAAGATGAAGAACAAAAATATTGGTCTGGAAGAATTGAAAGTTTAAGAAATGAACACCAAATGATAACCAAAATAATAGAGAGCGAATATGAAAAGACAATTGAAAATACCAACAAATTATACGAAGAACCTATTATAACTGAAGAGAAAATAGAAAAAATTAAACCATGCTATAATTGGCGCTCAAAGGTATAAAGTTTTAATAGCTATCTTCCTGAAAATTTAACCTAAAAACTATTATTTCTTATAATGTAATAACTATTACAACTGTTATGATTATGGCGTACTAAGCATATTTTAATTGTTTAGATATTGCAATGCTACGAAAGCAACCCTCATCAACCCCTGGTATGTTCGCCGGTTGTGACAGCTTTTAACGATTATATAGAGACATGCAGAATAACAGATTGAATTGTTATTTTTTTAAATAATAAATAAATTTTGTCTCAAGGGCGTATTGCTAATTCGTATTTTATTAGAGAGCAAATGAGCATATTTTTCCTTCGCTTGTTGGTGAAATTCCTAATAAAACTTTGTGCTAATTCACAAAATAAAATAAAATGATAACGGTTAAAATAACTTTTAACTGTTGACATGTTAGTTTTTTTTACTACAAAAAATACCTGTAACAAAATACTCTTTGACGCCAAATTGACAGTGTCAAATTATTGACAGATAGTCAGTGACAGGTGACAGTCCTACAACGAAATTGTCAAATCGATTTATATTGTAACTGCCAGGTGCTTTCAAAAACTTTTGCAGTTTCAATAATTGAATTATAACAAGTTTTAATGCTAGTCCTAAAATTCTAAATTAACTTTCGATCATGACTTGTAACGAATCAAAAGATAATGAGTCTTTTCGACACACAATTTTAGAAAAAATAAATGCAAATAATGAAGATGTAAATACAAATAAGGTAATGTCGATTTAATTATGAAAATCGTCAGAATACTATATAATTGTGACTACAACTTTTTATCAATAAAGAAAGGGGTTGGATGAAGGGATAAACACACTCGCACATATATGAAAATTACTTATGAATATATTCCTAATAATAAATGTTTTAATGGAATTCATTCCATGTATATCCTTATTTTTTCATAGTATGTATATTATATTTTGGTGTACAAATTTGGAATTTACTCTTTTTTTATGTAGGCACCTGATATAAATGACTTCACCATAATTAAACCTATCAGTCGTGGTGCATTTGGAAAAGTATTTCTTGCACACAAGAAGAATAATGCAGAACAAATGTTTGCAATAAAAGTAATGAAGAAATCAGACATGATAAATAAAAATATGGTCACTCAAGTTGTTACTGAAAGAAATGCTTTAGCTTTATCAAGAAGTCCATTTTGTGTTCATTTATTTTATTCATTACAATCAGCATCATCTGTATATTTGGTAAGGATTTTTGTATTTGTATAACTTTTAAATTGTTTTTTCAATGTATAATTATCTTACAATTGCAAATGCATTACTGTGTCACCTAAATTTGTGTCAATAATTTCAATTTATTATTTTAAAAAGTGACCATGTAATTGTTAAGAAATTGCAATAATTGAATCTTAGTTGTGTATTTAAAAATTAATCAAATTCTGTTTTGTTCAAGGTGATGGAGTATATGATTGGAGGTGATTTGAAATCACTTTTAGGTGTTTATGGTTTTCTAGAGGAATCAATGGCAGTTTTTTATGCAGCCGAAGTAACATTAGCTTTGGACTATTTACATAAGCATAATATAGTCCATAGAGATCTGAAACCAGATAATATGTTGATATCTAAATCTGGTCATGTGAAGTTGACAGACTTTGGTTTATCCAAGATTGAAATACACAGAGGTACTAACTAACTAAAATATACTGTATTTTACTAATATTTTTATTTGCTATAGCCTAACCAAGAATTTCAAAATCCTTTTTCAATTTGCTAGTACTTTCCCACAATATGGTAAGAGCTTTTAAGTTTCTGTTCATGCTATACAATGAGTTTCCACCACCATAGCACATTTATAAATGCATACCTTTCATGTTAACAATCATGTTTGTGTTATGAAAATTTATGGTTTTAGTATGAAAATGCCAATAATTGCTTTCAGATTTGGAGATATCAGATTTTGTGAATCATACACCGAGTTTGAATATGAGAACACCTGGACAGTTGCTCTCCTTAACATCACATCTATCCTTTGGTTCGGGAGGTGGTGACAGCACACACAACTCTATGGCAGATGCGTGTGAGAACCTTCTTGATGCACTTAAAGAGACCAGTATGAATAAATTTTGTTTGATTTTTTAAAAAAAATATTTGAAAATAACATTCTTGATTTATCTCTTGTTTCATAGGTAAATTAAAAGATATCTGTGAAGTTAATGGATTGGATAATTCACCTTTAGTGGATAATTCACAGCTGTCTGGAATCCATCCATTTATGAGCGCTGAGAGTATTCAATTGGAGGAAGTAGCTGTAAGTAATTAATTACTGTACATGTTTGTATGGATGTATGGATGTTTCTATGTAACTCCACACTGTAATATTATGGATAAATTTAAAAGGTTTTTTTTGAAGAAAGAAGAAATTACTGCACACCCAATCCATGTATCTACTTTTAACCAGATTTAACTGATCTTGATGAAAATTGAATAGAGCTTATGCTAGAATTAATTAAAAAGGTATTTTCTAATATTCATTTCTAGATATACAAACATACTATTGTTTCTCAGTTTCCAGATTCAGGTTCAGAGTCTGTGAGTTCGTACCACACTTGTGAGAGTTCTAGAAACAGCACTAACTCCAGAAGTAACAAGTCAACGGATATCAGCAGTAACAATGCCTCTTCAGTGACGGACTCACAGCATGATGAATCTACCTCACCACTTTGCAGAGGACATTCGTTGAAGAGGATACCGAGGTAAGCATCTTCTGTACTTTCATGTTTTCAACATCATGTTTTTGTGTTGCTGATTATGAAATAGTCATTTTTAAAATGTCTGCAAGTCACTGTTCCTTTCGATAATTTTCGAGGGACCAACCGTTTTACAGTAATCATTAATGACAATATGTTTTTCTAAGTTTCCGTGCTAAGAAGAGAAAGAGAATATTAGACTGTGATGGAGATACACCAACTGGTGTGTCAAGTCTTTTAGAATCAAAAGAGAACTGTAGCGGACTCACACAAGAGATAATGGCATTAGAGCTCAGTCAAAATACACCGAAACGTATGTCAATACATCCTACACCTGAACGACGGAAAAATCCTATAAAAGGTGTTTTAAAGAAAAGGTCGGTATCAAAAAAAGAAACAATTGGTTTTTTTAATTTTTTTTTAAACCTGTGGTCATAGATCAGACAATGATAAGTTCATTTTGTTCATTATGACTTATCAATAGATATAATCGAAGGAACTATAAGTATTTTCAGAAATTAGTAAAACATTTCCTTAGTTGTACTTTTTTATTTTCATACTTTGAGTGTTTCATATTTTAATAGGGTCTTCAACATTTCTCAATAATTTAGTTCCTTGTCCTGTAAAAAAAATGAAATTGCATTTATCATATTCTGACGTATGGTCACAATATTGTCGATATTCCAGATGGGTGTCACAAGATGATTGTCATCATTATAATGTAGGCGTAATATTTTCAACGCCCGTGTCAAATAGCAAGATGCCGGACAGGAAAAAAATGCAAAAGGCGACTCGATTCAATTTGCCCACAGAGGAACCTATGTCTAGTTCAAAGGACAAATCCTTTACATTCAGCAAACATGTTTCGACTAGTTTGGAGATTTTTCCTTTGAGAAGGTTAAGTAAGGTAAAATGTAATTTTTACACTTAATAAAACATCTTATGTCATTTATTTTTATTTATATTTATTTATGCATAGGCGATTTTTTTAAATTAATTTTATACGAACTGTTCCCGTAAGGCTTCTAGGACAATGAAGGTCTTTGACATTGGATAACACTTACTGTTACCATGGCAACCATGCTTCCTTGATGTTGTAGGCTTGTAGTTTTTGTCCCTTTCTAGTGTGATAGTTATTTCCACATCATTTACTCCCTAAGATTGATGTGAAATATACATCTTAAAGTGTGTCGTAAGTGTAGGACTGTTTTATTAAAAAAAAGAATTATTCAAATATACACTGTGAATTGCTGACATCCTATGCCACAAAGTAGTGTGTTAACACTTTATTATGTGACAACAACAGAGTTCTATACACATTTTATTACTGTTTCACCAACACACAATACATTCACACCATATGTAACCAAACTTAGGGGTGACTAGAACAGTCAATGCTGATCCATGCGGAATCACCTTTTTTAGTTGAGTTTATTGTAGGATTGTTTTCCAAAATCATAACTCACTTGCCGAGTGTTGTTTGTTTGACTTCATCATCATTATCACCAGCTCACTATACGTCCCTAATGAGGGGCTCGAAGCCTACTCTAAGTAAGGGTGACTAGGCCAATGTCCAACCACGAGGACCCACTGCGGGTTGGTTCACACATATCTTTAAATTTTTTCGCCGATATGTGCAGGTTGTATCGCGATGTTTTCCTTCACTGTAAGAAATTGTTGGACTTTCCTTGTATTAGTTGATGTTAATAGGATAGTTTGTCATAACTTGTCTGTAGGAAGGCGGTGACAGATCACCGACGGAGTTGTGTAAGACTCCGCTAGCGAGCGCGCACACGCCGTACCGCACGCCCAAGAGCGTACGACGCGGAAATCACTCCGACCAACTTATATTAGGCACACCGGATTATTTAGCACCTGAATTACTCTTACGGTAAGTCTTATGTCCTTTCTTCCTCCCAAAATCTGATTTTCCTACTTTTCACCTGTATTTTATATCATACTAACTGTCGCCCGCGACTCCAAACGCGCTGAATTTAATGAAATGTAGAGGATAGTCTGGAACAACACATAGAATACTCACTTTTGTTATTTTAATTCCAAGCGGACGGAGTCGCGGGCGAAAGCTTATTTATAATATTAGTAAAATTTGATATCGTTAAGAGAGTTCTATCAAATAAATTAATTAGTATTCATTACAAGTCCATGTTAATTTATTGTTTTATCTGTTCTGTGGTTGTTAAGGTGAAAAAATGTTTGTCAGGCAAGGTCACGGGTGTCCCGTAGATTGGTGGGCGCTCGGAGTGTGCCTCTACGAGTTCATGACAGGAGTGCCGCCCTTCAACGACGAAACGCCTCAAGCAGTATTTAATAACATATTGTCTAGAAGTAAGTTGTCTGCTGATTTTCTTCATTCCTTTAAAAACTACTTTGGATCACCCTCATTTTATATATTTTTTTAAATTTCGTCTATCTTAGACACAGTTTTATCTTTGCGTAAATTAATTAGTCGAATAAGTTTAACGTCAGTCCCAAAGTCCCCTTTCCCACAGCCTTTACTTTAAAAGATGGATAGGTAAAGTGAATTCCATAGAAAAGGGAGACGCATGGAAAAGGAAAATATCCTCTTTATGTGGATTTTCATCCACTAAGGGTAGACAACGCATCTGCTATGCCTTTAGGTAACGTTCGATTCGCTGTTACTGCGAATTTTAGTGGCCATTTGTTCATTTGGTACCAAGAACATATATATATGAGTGTAGTTGAAACTTCACTTAGATACATTTTTCACATAATCTCACTACCGCTACCTTGTGACCGATAGTCAAAATCATAAACAAATAATAATTCGGCACGTCAAATTTGACTTTGAGATAGTACCATACAGATATAGTACCGGTGAAAAATCTAAACACCCCACAATAAATGCTTTTCCCGAATAAGCATTTTGTACTATTATATCGCACTCGACGAACATATTAAACTAGTTCACGTTGAATCACTACCGCGCTCGCGTGTGCTCATCACCATACATCGCCGTAGTTATAGGAATAAACTACAACATTCTCTTTTATCTATGGTGTTTTATTTCGTATGTACGGATACACCGTACATGTATATTTCTTAAATGTGTTTGTTTGGTACCTAATCGTATTAAAAGGAAGAGAGTTTCATGAACTCAGACATAGAATGGCCGGAGGCGGAGGAGGCGCTGTCGGCGGAGGCGGTGGGCGCGATCGAGGCGCTGCTGACGATGTCGCCGGGCGAGCGGCCCGCGGCCCGCGCCGTGCGCGCCATGCCGCTCTTCCGCCGCGTCGACTGGGAGCGCCAGCTGCACGCGCCGCCGCCCTTCGTGCCCAACCCCGATGACATGCACGACACTGGATATTTCCAAGGTATATATGTGGCCCGCGAATCTGTCCGCACGGAATACAAAACTTGTAGCATATGTGTTTTTCCAAACTATCCTCTACATCTATGCCAAAATTCATCGAGATCCGTTCAGCACTTTAGGCTACAAACGCTAACAAACATCCATCCATCGATATAAACATTTGCATTTATAGTATTAGTATTATAGTATGATTAGCTTTTGCCAGCGACTTCGTCCTATGTCCTATGTCCAGGTTACGTTTTACATCTGTCCTAAATTTAATCCGGATATGTTAAGACAATTTGGAGATACGTATCAATAAACATTCATACTTTAGAATTTATGACATTATTAAGGTTGTTTTATTTAAATTGATACAAACTGATGATAACGACCATGTCTAAAAAGTCAAATTTTTAGACATTGTTGTTATCATTTCTCATTTATTTCTAGTATGTAAAGATTTTTTTTATTAATTTCCAGCGCGCAATATCTTGCAACAGCTTCATGTATCCAATTTCGACATGTGAGAAAACAACAACTGGATCTCAAGAACATTCTTATATTAAATGTGATAATTAACTAAGTTTTGTTTTCAACTATAATGTCGCAGTATATTTCCTTTAATTTATAACAACTAGAAATAATAACCTTTATGTATTGCGTCTTAATGATCGTGTAAATGATTGAGGCTCTTTTTGAATTGTAAATAAAATACAATATTTGTGTTAATTATTTATTTATAAAACTTACGTACTATTTGGCACATGTTCAGGAATTTTGATTGGCATGCCTACGTACGGACCGGGACCAATTTATTGAGAAAGACAAGATTCCAGTATTGCCTTTCTCAAAGTAATTGATTGGAAAATATACATATATAATGGAATATAGGTAATAAAATGATGCTTTTTATGCGTACGCTTGTTTTAATTTTTCGAATTCTTCTGTATCCACGGTAAGAAGGCTGTGACGCGAGTGTACACTCCGGGGTACTGCCCCTTCCCGCAGCCGATACCCCACGACACCACCCCCACTTGCGTCCAGCGACCACCTTCGTTCACCATCAGCGGACCACCGCTGTCACCCTGCGACACACAACTAAAGTTAACGAAATAACTCTAATAAAACTACAGACATTTAAGACTAGGCATAGTGAACAAAATGTTTTCACCGTTACTTTGACAGGTCCTATATCAGTTGTCAAGTTTAGTGCGCCATCTCGTATCGACATGTAATAAACATTTTACGAAATCATAATAATTTCCATCTTTTGTTTAAAATTTAACTATTAATTATATTGATGTGTGGTTTCGAGGCTCTTAATTGATCGCGTTAGTGATTATTGTGTGAAAAATGCCTCAGGAAAAGTGTCACCTGTGCCTACTCTTTCATTTTTTTTTATCTCTTTGTAAAACTAACTATATTACACTCTAGAATATGTGATCCTGTAGGGGAAATTGTTACAATCCTTGAAATATTTATCTGTTGGCTTTAAAACATCGTAAATTCAATTATATACTTCTACTTACGCTACAAGAGTCCATGCTGGCTTTGCCAGCGCAGATCATGTGTTCGACGATGCCGCCGGGCGCCGCGGAGCCGTACTTGAGGCGACACTCCGCGTTCTGCCATATCGGAATTGACACTTCTTGTAGCACCGATGGCTGCGGTCCACCTGGGGAATAATATCGCTTGTTACGTAGTAATAGCTACAATATATTGTAGATCTTCTAATTTTTATACAAAGAAATTAGTTAAACTCTTTATGAAGCGTTCGTCATAAAAACATTCCATTTTAAAGACAATCAAGAATAAATTATATAGTAAGATATAATTACTCATAATTCCTATGTAAATAAATGAACAACCTCATGGCTACTATACTTACTTTCGCGTAAGCTGCCCCAACCAATGACGGTGGCAACCTGACCTGCGTACGCCCTGTTGCCGCTCGGCAGACATATTGGCCGGATCGCCTTCGAGAACTTCACAGGTTTGTCTAGCGTCAGTATCGCAACGTCGTTGTACTGAAAAGATTTATTTTATTAACTGGGAAATTATTTCTTTATAAAGCGTTTATTGTATAAAACATCCTCAAAACATTGTTACCAGTGTTTGCATATTGAAGCCACGATGTCTGACCACTCTCTTAATCTTCCTCTCCTCGTGCTGCGTCTCGGTATTAGTACGAATATTGTGGTCCCCGAGACGAGCAGTCAGTCTAGCCACATCCCATGACGTCATGCTGGAAAAATTTAGTGAAGTCAGAAAATAAATCATTTTAAAATAATGATGAAATCAAGATTTGACACTAAAAATCTAAAGCAGTATGACAAAGAAAGTGGAGTCGGGTAATAAGATAACTTGGTTCAAGACAAAACGAGACATTAGAAGATTGACGAATGACTCACTGTGCAACACAATGAGCCGCTGAAAGAATATGTATATCATCGATAAGAGATCCGCCACAGAACTGGCGGCCGCCGTTGAACAGCGCCGCGATCCAGGGCCACTCATTCAGGTCCGCATTGTGGCCTCCCACAATTCTTTCTTCATCTTGTAACTCGTATGCGGTTCCGTAAGTCTAAACATCAATACAAAAATATTAAACACTAAATCAATGCTAAAGGTAAAAGAATAAAGCGAATAATTCAAAGGTCATTCACCTGTGGTCCATTCTTGATGCCACAGGAGCTGTCTACGGCTGGCTGGCCTGCAGGCTTAGTCGGCTGAGTTGGATACGCAGGTGGCCATGTCTAAAATGAATAACAACTTCTTAAGCGATCAACACTTATTTATATGTACTAGCCATTTAAAAAATAGAAAAATCCTTAAGTTGTAAGTTGTAGAAAAGTTAAAACTATTTCTGCTGTGTTTACCCTAAGTCGATAATTGAAAAAGTACCTGTTTTGTAGTACTTGGAGGCTTCGTCCCCCAAGTTGTGGAAGCAGTGCTCGGAGGCCTGCTTGTTGTGGGTTTAGTTGGCTCCACGTTGCCTGCAACTTTAAAATTAAATCCTTTACAAGATACATTTGCTAAAATTTAAATTTAGTTAAATCATAATCATATATTTGGTCAATATTCTTGAAGTTTCTCGTATATCATAAACCGAATTTTTCGAACAAAACCAATCTCTTAAATAAATATTACCTATGGAGGGTGGGTGCGTAGGCGCGGTGTGGTCTGGCGGGTGCGTAGGCAGCGGCGGGATAGTGGGAGGCCAATTAATGGGAATTTGCCGCTCACGATTCGCTTCTCCGAATGTCCATTGTTGTGACATTGAAGTCGCTATTCGTCCTGGAAACCTAAACGGAAATACAATGAAGATACAGAAAATGGTTTTTATTCTTCTATTTAATATGTGATATATTTACTTAGGATCGCAGTACTATGTAATAATATAGTATTGTTTACCCGACAAGTTGCGTAGGGGGCGCCTGTGCGGGCAACACGGGCGGTAGTGCACCCAACCTCTGCACGTCGGGCTCCTGCTGTGGCGGCGTGCCCACCGGCGCCGTGCAGCACACGCCGAATACCTACATAAATTCGCATTTACAATATTCTTATGGTAGTGTTTGTACACGTACATACTCTAACAATTTGTATAAATTTGATTAAAAATCTAAATCATTTTTAAGCAATATGCAGTATATTGCAATTTTTATTATTATCTTAACTTAATCTGGACAATATTTACGTAATATCATTTACAATGAAAATATAAACTGATATTGCCCATTTATAAAAAGCAATGTTTTTTTGTTTACGTAAAAATTAAGGTTTTCATAGGGACAGTGGGTACAGTATTATTATAAAGCAATGCGTGCGTCGTACAGATTGTTGTTTTAATTTCGAGATGTCCACACAAGGCTAGCGGCTTGTCAAGCTCGCCGGCTCATTATTTAGAGGTTTATTTGTAAATACAGATTAATTTTGCAAAATCTTACTTTTGCATTGTTGATTCAAATGTTAAAAGTCATATTCATCATAAAATGGAATCGTAAATTAAAAATACTTTTATCCTTATGTTATGACATATTGTGGTCACTTTCGTAAGTGTTCGTAGTTTTTACATTGATAAAATAATATTACACTTCGACCTAATTTATAATAAGGAGTGAGTTTCACTGGAATTTTTAACTTATACATAATTAAGTTTCAAATATACCAAATTAATTGATTATTTTTTTTTATTTCGTATATCGTTTACTTACTTCCATATTGTTAGAGTCGATAAAACTGCAGGTGTCATAGTGTCCCATCACCCACCCGTCCCACCCGGACAAATCCACAACCTTGAAAAGTGGGTAACAATCGCGAAAACTCTTACATGTTCCCTTTTTTCCCAATGTCGTTTCACAATCCGTCCCGAAAGCTCCATCGTCCGTTGTTTGCGCCTGATGTTTTCATTGGGTTAGTTAATTTAAAATTTGCAACAAAAAGTATATCGAAAGTATATGTGACAAGGACAATGATAATCTTGACAATAAGACCTTCAAAGATTACAAAACAGAAAAATTAAATTTGTCTTCCTGCATCAATAAATCTTGGTATTACCTTGTCATTAAATGTATAGCATCATACATAACTACGAGTACATAACTACTTGGTTCTTATAAAAAGACTTTGCTAAAAGTAAATAGAAATATTTCGGTGACTAGAATCTTATAGATTATTGTGCGATGCCAAGAAGTAGAGTTATATAGCAAATTAAGAAGTTACCAAAAAAAAGAAAATAAAAATACTAACGAATTGAGAACGTCTTTGCAGTCAGTTAAAAAGAAATTGAGATTTTGTACTATGTAGTGTAGACTCACAAAGCGTGCTAAAGCGTGTTAAGTTTATTTTATTTTGCAAGTTAGTATTTCAGAATACCTACATATTCTATTTTTTTTTTCGAAGTAATTCATAATTAAAATATAAGTTTGATAATACGTGACGTAAATTTAATTTAAATCTCTAGTTAGTAGTGTTTAATATTATATTTATTTATTTAATTTAAATTATATTAAAATGGTCAGTGCGGTATATCTTAACGTAAAGGAACAAGCTAAGGTTGGCGAAGAATTTATTACCCACCATATTCATCCACGCAAAAGGAGCGTCTCTTGTCAGGAATACATGCTTTTTAGTAAACATACGTACAGATTTTAATGAGATGAATTGTTAGAAATAATAATAGACTCGAAGGAACTTACCATCCGAGGGCCCATCAGGAATAGTTGTCTCACACTTCTCGTATTGTTAACAACCGCTCGACGCACACGAGGCGTTGGCGCTGAAAATGAAATTTTTAATTTCGTAATTATTACAGGTGTGAACATCAAATTTAAGAAACGACTTATTTACCGATTACATTTCGTGTCTATTAAAGAAGCTGTAATTACTATTATTTTATTCAATCATTGACATTGACAACCCTTCAACAATTCATACCTACACCATGAATCGCCACATAAAAAAAATTAAGTCCGTATAGATCTTTAAGGTCGTACCTTGTTTTTAATTTAGGATGTCAGTGACCCATCGAGCTTGTGTGATTGTTATTCACGATGCGCTTACACGTTTATCTTTTATCATGAAAATCGAAGACCCATGACAATAGTTTAGTTAGAAAACATTTAGACGAACAAAATAATTCGAGAGCTTACAGCTACATGTTTGCATTTGCGAGGAATTCCTGCATGCATTTACTTGGTTGTTGCTTTTTCTAAACGGGCGTATCTGATACAAGGGACAGTGTGAAGTATGTAGACATATAGACGTAATCTTATTGTATATTCAAAAGGCGTCCAAAAAGCAATGGTCCCAACTTGCATGCAAGTTATTTTGAACGCTGTGTAACGGTTACCGTTTTGTATAATATCATCGCATCGGCACTCGATGCCGATTTAAATTGTTATTGCGGTCTATGTCACATATAATTGACATGAATTACTCAGCTATAAGCGCCGAACATGTGAGGCGCAGGTCGTTAACATCGCGAGTGGGTGACTGTTTAAACACAATTTAGTTTTTATTAAACTAATACGTTGATAATGGATCATTTTAAATCATGATTGTTTGTGAATGCACCGGTTTTAATTGCACGTGCCCTAAATTATATGTAGAGTGACGCTAGGTTCCTAAAAACCCTAATTATATTAAACAACTAGCAGTTAAAATAAAAATTGAGAATAGCAAAATAGAGCTTTCTGTAAATTGCCGGCATTTTATTTGACAGATAAAATGTTCAGACGGCATCAACCTTCATTGCATTTATGTTGTGCATTAATATTTTCTTACGATTTTCTCAACCAAGTTATTCTGATGAGATTGTAGTACGCGGACACTGACCTACTGCTGATTACTTGCGATAAAGCTGCTTTAGTTTACAATTAATTTCTTTTTCTATTTAAACATTTGATAAGTCGCTTTACATATATTTTATTCTAATATAAAATGAAGGATATAGTTACGACGATTCGAATCAAATGTTCGACGTATATACTAGTTGCTCGTAGAATTAACGCCGTTGTTTTTTTGCTTTCGAACAAACGAAACAATGTTGTATGTATATGTAATGTGTTGAATACAAGCAGTACATCTGATTATGACATTAATAAAATTATGTTATCAACGCGCCTTTAATCTAAAACTAGCAATAAATAAAAACAACATAATATTAATTCAAATAGGCATTACTGCCATCAGACAATTGCTCTACAAAAATAACTTGGAAAACAAAAAAGTTATAAAGTGTAAATAACCGGCCTTGGAGAGGAAGCTTGTTTTAAACGAATTGCGACCGAAACTTCGTAGTCATTGAATCTTATTTCCAACGACACTATTGAACATGCACAGATAATAAACATTGCTAGGAGCAATGTTTATAAAAAGTTCAATATCGATGCAGGGGTCTCTGATCAAAAAATGCAGAGGAATATGATCTTAAACTTAAGACATCAAAGTGTGTTATTCTATGCTATAAAATTTTCGGAATTTGTCGCTCGAAATGCCATCTAGTGATAAGTAGACATGACTAGTTTTTGCATAAACGAAGCTCGGTATTATCTTGAAGCTTATCATATAAAAAATAAATTATTCATGTCTTCTGTCACATGTTAATGCGAGACTTTGTAAATAAGAGATGTCAATTAAAGTGTTATAATATTTGTTGCATGCATTCATTAAAAGAATACGAGATCAGATTGAAAAAATAGGTTTATTTGGACCCCTTTCAGTATGAGCCAAGTTGACGATTTTCCAGTCTTAGAAAATACAATAACCTATTACAAAGTCCTGATACAAAACTTTAAATTTTGTTCAAATGCTAAGGTATTTATGATTTTCTTAAATTGTGGGGCATACTTATGAAATAATATACATATCTGTTGCCAAGGGTTCTAAAGAAAAAGCTTATTTCGCCAAATATTGCAGAAATTTTAATAATAAAGTAATAAAAACAATCAATATTGTAATAAATACAAAAAAAATAGTTATGACAAGTTGAACATTTTTTAGTAGATATTTCTTTTTTTCCATTGTTTATCTAATAGACAATATATATTGAATTTATCTAGTTTCACTGTCCATAACCTAGATAAGACAGCTAGCATTTATTCTGAGGATCGTAAACAAGTCCGAGAAGTATACGCAATTATATATGTTCTGGATTCCGGGTTCAGTCTTCAATGTAAGGAAATGTCATCGCGGTCGAGTGCTCCTTCGATCTAATTAATGCCTTCACTGCTGGCGACAAAAAATGTAACAAGCGTACTGTTAGAGGCATGTCGGAGCCGAAAGGACAATACTTGATTGATTTGGCTCGCGGTGGCGCGTGGGCGTTTGGACATTTGCATTGAATCGATCATGTCGATATCATCCGAAAAACATGAGCCGGGTTGACGACCACCTCCGTTACCGAAGAATATTTATAGCGATCGAATTCCTTTGAATGGAAAATGTTTTAAAGTGTAATAAAAAGTGAATCTGTTTTCAACATAGACTTAATAGATTAAATGTATTTCGGATGTTTGTCATTCCTTTTCCGGACATCTTAATGCAAAATTGTTACTTTCTCTAGCCTCAAAACCTCATATTCACATGTCGCGCATTGTTTTGAGACAGCGCGGTGGGAATACTTGATGTATTCATACTAGGTGTTATATTAGAGTTAATATTTTGACGCATGAAATAAAAAAAGATGGAAAGTGACTTTAAATTAATTATTTTAAAATTCTCTTTCATTTCTCTTCTCTACTAAATATGAAAAATTGTCGATGATATTTGTACAAACTACTAATATAACATTTGATAAAATAATATAATAATACTAATTTATATTTATATTATATTATTGAAATAGCTATATTACTTAAATTAGGGACTTATAAGTAAATAAACGTAACATCTAATCTCTTACCGTCGACAATGACCGCATCTTCAGTATAAACCGCACCATTTCCTTCGGAAAATTCATTTTTAAAATCACTGCCGCAAACTGTTGCCGTAAAAGCCAACCATAATACAATTAATTTATCCTTTGTTAACATCGTCGCTTAAAAAAAGAGAATCATTCACAGTTCAAAAACGAGTCTAAAATAAAAATAAAGTAACGAGGAGCGACAGCGCGCGGCGCAAGGATGTACGTCCTGCAAGGAGTCTCTTCGCAAAATGCTTCGGAAACTTGATTTCGCGCCTTTATAATATTTTTACAAAGACGCTCTACATGAAGTTTAAAAGATAACAGAGCTTTTTCTTCTTTTGTATGAACCTGACATTTGCCTTCCATTATAATCGAGACTAAAATATTAGATGCGGCTTAGAGCATGGCTCCAAAAAAGTTGATCACGGATTGATTGCATTTAGCTGTACAACGTTCACACGAGAACGGCTGTTGAAAAGCATACTTACATTACTCATTTTAGAGATCAACGAACTAAATCATATTCCTTATAATTAATAATGAGAAACACAAAGTGGCTGCCGATGCAATAAATAATATAAATATAACCCTAAAAATATATGTTGCAAACCTTTAACAAAAAATGTACAGCAAAACCAGTATCTCGAACCCTTAGGCTATTATTGAAAACATCAAAACATAAAGATTTATATCGATACATTTTCAATACAAAAAGTTCAATAAGTATGGTTTTTAATAACTTTTATCAGAAAATAAATAATAATAAGTAACATTTGAACGTTCAACTATCAAACTACACGTTAGTTTTAAGCTCATTTGTCATTATATCATGATCCTTTATACAAAACTGATTTTGTCAAAAGCTCACTATAGCGCAGGTGCCTAGAACCTACCCTAAATTAGGGGTGAATAGGTCATACTCAACCAAAAATTATGCAGTCAATAGAAATGGTTAAATTCTATTTTTCAATAATCTCGACTCTGACTATTCCTACTTTAACTTAGAAATTCTCACTTAAATGTCTTTATGGTAAGTTTGGAAAACATTGTAAAATGCATTGCTCAATAAAAACTGTAAGTTGTGCAATAACTTTGACATTTAGTCAAGATAGTTTACTCCTTATAAAAAATGGGGAATAAACACTACTAACATAAATACATTATTAGTACGAACTTAATTAGCAATTTTGACAATTATTAGTAATGCTGTGTATATGACTAAGTAACTATCATTTTATTTTAATTTTTGATTCCCCAAACAAATGAATACTTCATAGGTTCAGTGTTTTTTTTTTAATTAATTTTAATGTATTGCAACGTACTCAGCTATGACAGTTATAATATAAAATACTGGTAGATTGCTCTCATCTTATTTTGGACAACCCTAAAATCGTTGTTTGTAATGAATAAATATAATTTGGGTTTTTCACAGTGGAATTAAAAGCTTCGACATAAACACGTATAAGAATTAGCAATCGATTAGGAAGTGTTTCCACTCAATTTTAGGATATAAAAAGGGTATAATCCAATCGTAAATGCATAAAATGAAATTAAGATACGTGTTAATATACATAAGAATTATTGATGGATTAAAACCACCCTGAAATCCTCATACAAAAACAACACAAAAGGACTGTTTTACCGACAATTTAACAATTCTTTGTGACAGTAAATATCCCGGTGTAAAAGATGGTAAAAAGTTGCCAGAAATGCAAAGTGTTAAGTCCAAATATTGCATAAATAATGGATTAGATATTAAGTGAATGTCACTAATGCAATTAAAAAGTTAATATTAAATATTTGCTCGGTATTAATTACTCGTCAAACTCGATATTTGTTAATGTGACTAGAACTATAACTGTTCTCATTACTTGTACTAATTCGGAAATAAAACCTGTACTAAGATTATGTTAGATATTACTTTTAATAACAAAATTTTCCGTACTTTATCGGTATATTTCTGAATAATTTTTTAACTAACTATGTTGCATTGTATTACAAAGTACAGTTAATCTTAACCTAAAAATTGATTAATTAAGGTTGCTATTTGCATTAGCAAAATTTCATTAGTTCATCATAGTTCCAGAATGATAAAAAAAATCAGAAAATTAAAGACGGTGTGTACTTTAAAAAACAATAACAAGATAATAAAGTTGTAATTGTCTCTTCAAGTTACGACCCGCAAACTGATTGTCTAGTTAAAATAATCTCAGTAGTGAGGGTGTGCGTCGCAGGAAACCTGCTATTGTCGTCAGAATTAACAGAATCCAATATAACAAGTTAAGTATAAAAACTTCCAAGCAGCTACACCTTAATGTCAGTGAGGCAAATAAAAAATGTCACGCACTCGATGTCTTTTTTTTAATAAACTTTAATGGCTTCTAAGAATGATTTAGATTTGCCTGATATTTAGTGCCGACCTATCGATGAACACGATTATAAATCAGCTCTGTAATTGTGCCTTTGCTTTAAGTTCAGCAGGAAGCTAAGTTGCAGCAAACATTAAAACTGATATCTACATGCATATATAATCAATGTAACAGCTCCAAATCGAACTAAAAATGTTTTATTAAAGAAAGCTGTCATTAGAACAGAACAAAACGAAATGCCTTGAAGCGATCCTCAGCAATGTCAACCTGGTTTATTTTCTTAATGGCATTTAAAGGTACTGATTTTCGTAATAACATTTCGCGATCTGTCCGTATGTAATAAAGAAATAATAAGTACCAACGTATTTTTCCATACTATCCGTTACATCTATGCCAATTTTCATGAGATCCGTGCAGCAGTTTAGGTTATAAACTTTAACAAACATCCATCTAAACTTTCGCATTTACAATTTACAATATCAGTTAGGAGTAAGATAACAGAAGATTTGTATAATAAAATAGTCATTCGCTACTATTGTTGACTTCCGAGGTAATATAATAATATAAAAGAACATAAAGACACATTGATTCCCGTCCAGCAAATAATTGTTAGCTTATCAGTTGTTTTTTCCTTAAAGTCAAAATTTCCAGTCATCCCTTTACTTTGCATTTATGGTTTAGTTTTATTGGATATTTGCGGTCGCAGGAGATACGAATGCGTTTGATAGAGTACCGTAATCACAGTCATACTGAATACGAAACCACAAAGCAGCCTATGTTAAGGTTATCGACCTTACGAAGTAAATACACTCATTAATCTTAATAGCGCAGCTATACGCTATGATTAATATAACTGGAAGAAAACGATTACAAGTTACAAGTAACATCGAACTATTCAGTTCAGATTTAAAGAATACTCCCAACAATGAATGTAACTTAACACAAGGTTTTTGCATAGATTAAAAAATATAAAACTTTGATCAAAATATTTATTTTACCTTTCAATAATAAAATTTCTAAGAGACTCTATTGAAGAGTAACCATATTTTTGAATAATTATATTGACACATTGGTAACTCGTCAATATTCAATTAATCAAATACGTTAATTATGTTGATTTAATTTATTCAAGACAAGAGGGCAATGTTACTTACTCTAATCATAGATTGGAATGTTAATTGATATAAATCTAAACCATTTTAATTTTAGATGCTAAAAATATGTTAATTATATTTGTACCATAGAATAGCACGTACTTAGTTTATTGTTTAAAAAGAGAATCGAATCTAAGACCTACGATAAGTCACGTATCCTTATTCGTCTATTTACAAGAAATTAATCATCAAAAAACTCTATCAAGAATCACGACGTGCATCCCTCCTGAGTCTTCATACATTAGACTTAAACGCGTACATTGTAATCATTAATCTTTAGTTCCGTTATTAGAACTAATGATCATTTGAACTGCTTCAATAAATAATACAAGTTCTACTTGTATATATAGAGTATTAACCGAACTTTAATAAGTACAGTCGCGGAAAACCGCGGTGTACTGCAGGAAAAATTGCCTTGTTCATTGCAACGAGACTAACTCCGCCTCTTCCTACAAATAACTAATTCTTATTAGATAGTATGAGTGGTGCAAACGAGGGGAAATAAGAAGAAATTAGTCGTGTATAACCGACTTTTTTGTACAGACATATTTATAAGCAGCATTGTATTATGTGTATATATGTATGAGTGGTGCAAACGAAGGGAAATAGAAAGAAATAATTCATGAATTACAGACTATTTTGTACAGACACTTTTATAAGCAACATTGTATTGGTTTTTGTTCCGTGTCTTGTTTCAAAATGTTCAACCTATTGTAGCTTTTGGTAAAACACCGGTTTACCAGACTCTACATATAAATTATCTTACTAATATTATAAATGCGAAAGTTTAGATGGATGTTTGAGTTTGCAGTCTTAGCGGCTGAACCGATCTCCATGAAATTTTCCATAGATGTAGAACGTAGACGGAAAGAACACATAGGTTAGTAATTTTTTTTTTAATTCGGATCGAGTTACGGGCGAAAGTTAGTGTTAAATAAAGAAATGTCTATGCGTTCCTTTGCTACTGAACGCTATTAAAATCGCCTCTGTCACATACATTAAATGTTTTTTTCTAAGCTACTTATACAACTACTTAAAAACTATATTATTTTTTAAAATCATCGTAGTTCATGACCAGGATTGTGGCACAAAGTGAAATTATTTTGATTTTCATACTTGATGCACGTGTGTAAATTCCAACATTCCATTATATACAATAGACAAAGTAATCAGCAAACGTTTAAATGTTGAAACTTGTTACGGCTATCCTAACATGTGATTTATCTACACCGTGACTTATAAGGCGTAGTAATTGTTTTAGTCTATCCCGCAAAGAACGTTGCTAACGGAGCAATAACAATAATAAAAATGTTATTTAATTATCGAGCATTTTTGCTATGTTTTCTATCATTAAAATAAACAAAACAACAAAACGTCATTTATAAAAAGAATTAAGTTCTACCAATATTTCATAAAATCAGAATTAATAGTATAAAGTAAAAAAAAGGATAAAGAGCTTAATTGCCGTTGTTCAGCTGTAACATTTAAACATAAAAAGCATTGAGATTGTAATATAACGCCACCTTTTAGTAAGTTAAAGTAATGTTTTTGCATATCGGCGCCTACCGTTTTTCATTAGCTTCATTTATTTCTTGTTTTCAAATATTGCATTTATTTTTATATCGTATTTTTTGACAGGCGTTTTTAAATTTTATTGTACAATTAATGTTTACAGTTATACGAGTACAGAGTACTAGTAAAGTGGTATAGGTGGAATATTGAATCAACGCAACCGAAGAAATCATCTTTTTTTGAATAAAAATGATTTATATTTCAGTATAAACATTTAAGGCATTTTCTTCAAAATAGACGAGCTTAAAAATGTATATGAAAAAAAAAACGCTTGAGTTATACGGTAGGTAAATGATATCTTTAAATGTTTTTGTTGAAAAGCAGTAAAAAACCAAGGCAACATTACGGTGGACGTAACAAAAACGTAACTTATTTACATAGAAAATCTGTTTTTAAGTGGTCTGTAGAAAATTAAGACAATACTAAATGTGAGGTCGAAAAAAAAAGATTGTTTATTTTAAAATAATAAAGATAATGGGCGTGAGTATTCCATATAACCAGTGGATGACATTGAGAGCGAGGTGTTTGTGCAATATCGGCTACTTCGCTCCCACACCTCACGACGAAGCGTCTCTTGCAATCTACCTAAAGACGTTGCGACGTACTGGTCTCTACAACGTTATTTTAAATATTACTCGATTACAAGAATTAGAACATAAAGTAAAATGTATAACGCATTTGTAGTTTGTTTATTCCTAGTGTTAGGTAATTGTTATGCGGCTATTGATATTGGTGAGTATATACAATTTATATTTTTTATTTATTTCTATTTTTACCGCTTCAACAACATTTAAAAGTAAACACAAATTTGCCATTTATATTTACGTTAAATTTATGTTATTCTAATTACTATGTGCATAATAAATAGAAACTTTAGACTAGTTAAGTGTTTGTAAGAATTTTTATATTATCTTTAAAGAAAAGTTCTTTTGTAATAAGAATATCATGTTAACCTTCACCTTAATACAATTTTCCTTATTTCCGCTTAACTTGACTTGATTCTAGAATCATCTTGACCTGATTTTGTTATGCTGGGGTTAGATGCTACAAACAACAATAGCTTGATTTTGTTTGTTTGCTGTATTACGTTTTATCACAGAAGTCCTATTGACAAGAAATCCCTTAATAACCATTTTTAAAGAAGGGGGATGCGTTACACATCCTAATTGTCTTGGGGAAACACATACTGGATATGTAGGACTCTCCTCATACCTTCCTAATGAGAAGGACGTGGAGCCTACCCACTAAACCCCCTCGACTTCACTGTTCACCAGGGCATAGACACAGTAAATATTCATCACACACCTGGTGGTATAATTAATACCCATATGCCAACAACCAACAACAAGTCTACTTATCTAAGGGTTGATATAAATGTACATTTAATCGAGATTGTTCATTAATGTTCTTTTAATTTCGATTTAAACAAATGCTTCAAGGTATTTTGTCCACGGATATTATTGAATGTGTTTTATACGATGAAATAACTACTTATTCCATTTAAATAAAGCAATATAAAATAACTTTAGATGCATCATTTATTTCTATTGTGAATAGAAACGTTTATTGGAATCATAAATTTTATTACCGTGTCTTATTTGTTAAGACATTTTATGACTGAAGTTGTACAACAATTGCTGTAATTTGATGTTTATAAAATAGAGGATACATTTCCGTCTTCTTTTTCGTATTCTACTAGGATTAAATCTAAGCAGAGCAAATGAGAGGTATAGGTGAACCATCGTTGACGAAGTGGTTGAGGACTGGACTTGTCGTTAAGTCCAGGTTCGATATTCTAATGTGGTTGACTAAGGCACAGTTACCCTTTACTTAGGGTAACCACAAATCCTCAATGTAAACACAAAGATGTAATGAACTAATGATGAAGTATTTTTCCTTTTCAGCACAATATGTGCCAGTTTGCGATAGAAATTCTCCTGATGTCAACGATTGTCTAGTAGAAGCCGTCAAAAAGGGTCTTGCAGCTATGAAGAGTGGAATTAAAGATTTAGGTGTGCCAGCTATCGATCCCTATCATCAAAAAGAACTGAAAATGGAATACACTAATAACCAGGTAAGTGTTTACACGTACATAGATACAATTTACTATTGTTTTTTTACTATAATAAATACTATTGTAAAGATATTTGTAAACAATTGTATGCAATGCAAGTGAATTTGTTCTATTGTCTAGGCATGTATGCCATTAGAAACATTTGATATTATTTACAGAAATCTTTGTTGCGTGTCATATTTTGTTTATTTGAACAGAACAATAATAGCAATTCATCATTCATTTTCCGTACTTTAATGTATTTTAACAATGTTTTTCGTCCGCGACTCCGTCCGCTTGGAATTTAAAAAAAAAACAAAAGTAGTCTATGTGTTCTTCCAGATCATCGATCGAGATCCGTTCAGTAGTTAAGGCTACAAACTCTAACAAACATCCATCTTAACTTTCGCATTTATAATATTAAGTAAAATTAGTAAGATAATTTATTCACACTTTTAAAATACTAAAGAAATTATATCTGTAAACCTAACCTTGTGGTAGATAGATTAGACTTCTGTTTGAAAATGTTTATAAAGAGCAATTTCGTAAAGAAATGTCTGTTTGGTTCATTTTTAAAATACGTGCATAAAAAATAAAATACTTCCTCAACATAAAATTAAAGCTGATACAGTGATTATTGTAGTTGCAATTTACTAAGTTATTATTTGTCAAGGATGTTTTGATGAAATGACGGCAAGGTAACATTTAATTGTTACGTGAACCTACACGTCCGTATAAGCGCAGTTAGGGTCATTACTATTGTTATAAACACCAATCTAACGACTAATGCATCGTCATCCTTAACACAAGACGTTCATAAAGAACGTAGTTAGATTTTTTTCGTAAACAAAATTAATTAAATAGGTATAAATAAAATAACACATTGTTATAAAAACACTGTTTTGCACTGATAGCGAATAAAAAATAGAATATAACAAATTAAAGTATAAAACATTAATTGCACAGAAACTAAAAGAACATTTTAGAGGTCAGAATTTAACATATCCAGTTGTTGGATGTAGATTGAACAATTAAATTATTTATGAGTGGCACAGCATATACGACTTTAATCTTGTTACTATTACAATTTTTTGTATTACTAATATTATAATTGCGAAAGTTTAGATAGATGGATGTTTGTTTGCGTATGTAGCCTAAACCGCTAAACATATCTCGATAAAATTTGACATAGATAGATGATAGTCTGGAAGAATATATGGGCTACTTAATTTTTTTTAATGTCACGCGGACAGAGTAGCCTGCGAAAGCTAAAGTATAAACTAGTGATTGACCACGTATCCACCTAATGTTAAATGGTGATGTGGTCGAAGGATGGTACGCACAGGAATGTATAAAATAAACACATGACTTATTATGATGTGATCGCATCAAGACGCGTTTCATGGCATTGTTTCGAGTTACGTCTTTTACAAGGGAAAAGGCCTTATAATTACAAAAAGTCAAGGCTTCACAACATGTATCACGCGTCTGAAATTATACAAGAATCCAACAATTAATCTACCAAAATGTTCAAATTACGCATACTATTATATTTTCGTAAGGTCATTTTAACTTTGAATTTTATTAAATATTTTAAAGTTATTCATATTACATTTATAGCTTTAGATGTAAGTTGTGATTTACACTATTTGCAATAATCTAAATCTAAATTTTTATCTACAGATCTCGGGTAAGGTTTTAGTGACTGACACGTACGTAGCAGGAGTTACAGAATCCACGGTAAAAGATGTAAGGTTTGTATAAATTGTTAAATAGTTAGTTACTTTCTTTTTTATACTCGACCAGTGTTTCAATTGAATCAGGCTCTTATGAAACATTGTACAATCCTTAGTCTTAAAAACTCGAAGTAAATAAGATTGAAAAATAGCATTTTATTTTAATAATGTACAGCCATATAAATATTTTTGTTTTTTAATTTACAGACTCCGCGCCGAAGATGACAGTTTTCATATGGAAATCGATATGTTCAGCCCTCAAATATTTTGCAAAGGCCGTTTTAGTGGTGGCGGAAGTTACAACGTTTTACGTGTCAACGCTTCCGGCGACTTCAACACAACGATGAGTTAGTAACCTTAATTTTTTACCACATATAAGTGTCAAGTTTAACCAAGCTTTGATATAAGACCTACATAGGTGCCACTAGCCGTAGTCCCTAAGAGGACGTTCCCTAAGAGAAATTTCATAGGAATAGAAATATTAGATCAGTTATTTGTAATGGTAAAAAAATATTCAGATTGTTATTGATGACATTTATTGTAATGTTTTTTCTGGCTCAGGTGACTTGACATACACGTGGAAATTGGACGGCACGCCTGAACAAATCGACGGTGAAACTTATGTTAGAATTACATCTTTCTACATGCGACCCGATGTTGGCAATATGGTCACGCATATGACTAACGAAAATCCCGATAGCAAGGAATTGAGTAAGTTTTCTCAAAACGTACTATCGACATTTGACAACCTTAGAAGAAGTTTTAATATGTTGATAAACAAGAACTTTAGTTAGATTAAACACTAATTTATTCATTTCAGCTGACCTGGCCATACGTGTTACAAATGAGAATTGGAGACTTCTTTACCGCGAACTGTTGCCGTTCGCTCAAGCCAACTGGAATAAAATCGGAATCCGTATCGCCAACAAGATCTTCCTGAAAGTACCGTACAACCAGTTATTTCCCGTGAAATCTTAAATTGTGAAATTAGTACTTAATTATAGTGATATTTCTGAAAGGTTACCTATTGTGATAATATTTTAAAGGTTTAGGGTATAATATTATAATTTTATTGAATGTAGTTTAAGAAAAAATCGAGTACTCTGTAGTCTTACTATTATGCATAAAAGAAATGTATGTAAATTAAGAAAAAAACAACTTCAATATAAAAATATGTGATAGTAAGATAAACCAAGGCCTTAGAAATTGTAAGTGGTAATTTACTATAAAATGTTGCTACTAAATGTTTCAATATTAAATATGGTATACAAATTACCTACAGCTTATTTAACTTTTTGTAATTACCTCAATTTTAGCGGATAAGTGTTATAAATCAATTATATTAAAATACAGACTTATAGACGAAAGTTCGTTTTATTTTAGTATAATGTTTATACCTTGCTTTTGCCGCTCGGGGCTAGTTGGGGGCAAAAAGTTGGGGAAGATTAACGTTTAGGTTCGCTTGTTCCTGGTTTGGCTTTGTGTGGCTAAAGTAAGACTATGCTCGAATTCTCGAAGAATTCGAGCATGCGACAAAACTCTAAAATATTATCGGATCTATTAATAATTCGTAATTCAAAGTGGTCTTAAAATCAGAGAAAAACAGAGATCCTTATTGTGACACAACTTAAAAAGTACGAAAAGTTAACAAAAGCTCTGTAAAAAATGATAACTGTAATTACGTTAAAAAGAAATGTGTTTGAAATTACTGTTTATTTATTTGGAAGATATTTCAAATTAATTTTTTTAGGAATCGATTTTAGTTTTATCAAAATATCGAATAAGTTTTGAATGGTATGTCTGTACTTTTGTAACTTGCTGCAAATCTGTATAATCTGTGATTTGTATCATCTCTGTTAAGATTTGACAATTGATTGGTGTTGATTGTGATTTGAAAAAATAATTTTGAATGTTAATATGATTTTGTGATAGTGCTGTATATGTGGACGTTAAAAAGTATTTAATAATAAAAATGGGTCTAATGTTAAAATATGTTATTGCCGGCTTAGCAAGATACTGGCTTATTCACATGGATTATTGGCAGATTATAGCCAATAGGGTAGAAATTGCTACGCCTTTAAACTCCTGGAAGAGGTTAATTGAGGGTGTTTATCTTTATGATAATAATATAAATCCATATGAAGGAGATTCGTTCCACGAGTCTCCATTAATGCTGATTTTCTTTCACTTTTTTATGAAGAAATTTCCTTACATTTTGCCCCTTCTGTTTACAATTTTTGACCTGATCACAGCTCATCTTTTATATAAGACATCAAAGTCGTTTGCGACGTTGTTCAAGAATGCTCAGGACAAAATAAAAGATGAAGTTAACAAGGATTCAAAAACAATGCTTTTAAGTAAATCTGGTTTAGATGAAGCTCCTGATTACGTTTTATCGGTTTATCTTTTTAATCCTTACTCTGTACTGAACTGTGCTGGGATGACGACAACAGTTATTCAGAATATGTTAGTGGCAGCATCACTTTGGGGCGCTACAAGTGGACAAAGAATTCTGGCTTGTGCTTTTATTGCCCTTGCCACTCATCAAGCATTGTATCCTGTTCTGCTGATAGTTCCTATAGCCATATTATTAGCAGATATTAACAAAGGATGTAATAAATGCTCATACATAAGAACCTTATTGGTCTTTGTACTTTGTTGGGGTTTCTTCATCTACATTTCAGCATTCATAATGGATGGATCTTATAAATATGTGTACAATACCTATGGATTCATGTAAGGTTTATTTTTATTTTAGTTTTAACACACAAAATTTAGAAAAAACATGCCATGATGTAATCAAAAAGTTAACAATAAGGTACTTTAAACACATAGTTTCATGTAGTAATGATGAATAATTTTTTTTCAGATTATCAGTCCCAGATTTAAAGCCTAACATTGGTTTGTTTTGGTATTTCTTCACTGAGATGTTTGAACACTTCAGACTACTGTTTGTTTGTGCATTCCAAATAAATGTGCTGGCTCTGTACATTGTGCCACTAACACTCCGGTTTAGGAGAGAACCAGTACTATTGGCAACTGTGTTGATAGCATTGTCGGCTATATTCAGATCATACCCGTGTGTTGGTGATGTTGGATTCTACTTGGCTTTGTTGCCAATGTGGAAACATCTGTTTACATGTAAGTATATTGTGTTTCATTGTTCAATTTAGTGTAATTTAATAGTTCAGTAATATTGTGTAAGAGTTCAAAATCTAAGACATTAAAAACTTCTTGATACTTTTGATATAAATATTTTATGATAGACTAGCTTTTGCCTGTGACTTCATCCACACAGAAAATACTTTATTTGTATAATGCTACTAACATAGTGTAGAAGTATTTAATTCTTTTAGACTATACTGAGAGAAATCTATTGAGCCCTTTTGGATATACATTGTAATAAATGTCCATACATCTATCCATCTAAACTTTAGCATTTTTAATTAAGTATTAATTAAGATTCATAATTACTTTATCTTTTAATAAGTATGCAAGGTTTGGATTTAATTAGGTCTTAAATTATTTTTTTATTTAAATTTTTTCTTATATCCTTTTCAGTCATGCAGCAAAAGTTTATAGTGGCCTGTGCTTTCATCATCACGTCAGCACTAGGACCCACTGTCTGGCATCTGTGGATTTACTCCGGCTCAGCAAATGCGAACTTTTTCTTCGGAGTTACCCTCTCATTTGCAACTGCCCAAATTTTCCTTATAACTGATCTATTGTTTGCTTACATAAAAAGAGAATTTACGTTAAAGAATGGGACATCTAGACAGATTGATGGGAAGCCTGCAAAACTAGTCTTGCGATAATTTCTTGCATTTATTGCAGAACAAAATTTATTCCTATATTTAAATATAGCATTTATATGTGTAATAATGTATGAACTGGGCACTTATATGATATATAAGTGCCCAGTTAATACATTATTACACCATGCCCATATAATAATAGATGTGGCAAAAAAAGATTAGTTCTAGTGACAGTTAAAATTTATGACAGACATGAAAATATTAGGCCACAATTTTTTTTTAAATCACAATAAAATCACAAATGATGTCATTATATTGAAAGTGTGATTGTGTGTTTACCCTTCTTTATTTTGATATCTTAAAGACTGAATATGGCTTGAAAAATTTACTCTCCTTTTATTTAAAAACTTGTAGAGAAAGTGAATATTTAGTTTAATGCTTATTATGTACATTTAATACAAAAGACATATAATTTGTAATGCTAGGTTGCCAATATACAAAAATATAAGATAGCTTAATAGATGTTTTATTGCTATTTGATATAAATGTCATTTTATTTCAAAGGTGTGTATGGAATTGTGTGCATTTTTTTTATTTGATGTTAAAATGAAATATTGCTTTGTAATGTAAATATTATTTTTAATAACTTAGAGATAGTTATTGGTAATATATCACTAAAATTATGATTTTTCACAAATTTCAATGATCAAAGTTTAAATAAAATAATTTGGATAGATTTCCGAATTGTTACATGTTTTAGAAGATAATTTAGTTTATAGTTTTAATTACGATTTGCACGATAACAATAGGTATACTAACAAAACCTATTATATTTAACTTATACTTAGATATATCTTTATTTTATTCTGTTAGCTATCACAGAAGTCCTGTTATTATTTAATTAATTTAACTTTAATATAGAGGTTTTTAAATATCTTGGCAGCTTGGAACACTTTTTCGAGTTGTTCCGCAGAACACAATATTAGCTGTATCGTAGTGAAGATGTGGAGAGGGACCTTCAGCTGCCCTTATTAAGGCGTCCAACAATAACTGACACTTAAGGGCAATTAGAAAGGCTTAATAAAACCTTATGTCTAGTATTTTGATTTTAATTAAACAAATATGATTTATTTTCCAAATTAGTTTTCTTTTTTTCCAATTTTTTGAGTTAATTTCCAAATATTTCTGTATAATCGATTTCATGATTTAACATTTGTTATTTATCTGATTGTTATCTATCCATCTTTATGTAAATAATTGATATTCGAAAAAATCGTATGTTTAAGAACGCTAGTACCACTTGACCATGTCTGTTTTTGATAGGGTAGTTAAGCTTTTTGGACATACGAACCTTAATTTAATGTATCCTAAAAATCAAAACATTTAGGTAAAATCTTCTAATTAATAACAGTTTCTCTATAGTTCGATCAACTTTACCTTATTAGTATTAACAATCAAAATGACTTTTGTTTGTTATCTTATCTATCTTGATGTAGGCTATCTTATCAGGCACTCCCACACGCACAACACTAGCCGCGTTGTTTTACACCAGTTGTCTGAAATTAATTACAAAAATGAAGACACTAATATTTATTGTTTTAATAGTGTATTGTGAGTATTTAACGCTAAATATATCCGATTTTCATATATTTTCAATATTGTATTGTAATTGTGCCGAGGTTTTGTTAATTTAACCGCGAATCTCAAGTGTATAATGTAAAAACATGTTACGTCCGTTATGTTTATGTACTTTCAATGAAAATGAGAGAGTAATATTGTTGTTAAACATGTGTTACGACAGTGTAAACTCACCGTAATGTTTTAAAAATAAAACTAAATAGACGACTTACTAAAATAATTATTTTACGCACAAAATATTTTATTGTGATAGAATTTTTAGACTGTTCTGAAGATGGTGATATGAATATATTGGCTATAGCATTGTAACTCATGCTATATTTAATAAAAGAAGCCTACGATTTTATTAAAGCAATTATGTCCATAAGTAGTTTTGGGCGATTTCTTTTAAAGGATTATTTTAGAGTAGACTGTTAAAACTAACCACGAACCTCTCCCTGATAGCACTTATGCTAGCAACCACCGTATTAAAACAACACATGTATTGTTTACTTTGTTGTATAAAGCTTCCGAAGCTGAAGTGTTGTCAAGTATACCAAGACATTTGGTGGATTGCTACCGGAGTGGCGGACCTCTGCTGAACTCTCCGCGCCGTCTGGACGTCTTCCTGTCGCTTGTGAGGAAATTAGAACTTTCTGCAAAACTAGATATGAGATTGTTCAGCACTTCCTTATTGAGAAGGTGGGTGGATTTAAATGTTCACTTGTCACGTTTGTGCTTACTGTATCAGGTAACTAGTCACATATTAGTGGGCATTTGATTGTTCTATGAGATGTGACGTCATCATGACGTCTGAAGAAAATTGAAAATTATAAAAGGCATTGAAAAATGTTTCTTACATCAGTAAGATCAGTATCAACTGAATTATAACAAGAAGTCGTGAAATTATTTAAAGTGGATAAATTGTAAAGATTTATTGCAAGCTATCTTTCTTTGTAGGTTTCGCTTAGATGGCATAGAGCAAGCTAGTAACCCTATTGAAACGGAGTTTGTGTTGCCATACCGAGCGTCTGCCTTCCAATTCCATAAATACAAACTGCTCATGGATCTATTTCTACCGAGTCAGAATCTTCTAGAGTCGGACGAGAGTCTAACATTAGTAGAAAGATGTTTGCTACACAAGATATTGAGTTCTGCGGTGCGTCCTTGGGAGAGGGGAGATGAGAACGTCACGTGCCCACTGTCTGCGGAACAGATGGAGAATATGGCGACGAACAGCTCTGGCAGGTCAGTTTATATCTTAGAGGTATATATTAAAGAAACATTATTGATTAATAACACCATGCCATTTAAATAGAATTCACAGCCGATGTCCTATAGAAGACGGCGTAATTCAAACAGATTGGGGGCCAGTGGCTGTGGGTACAGTCATAGCCGCAATCGCTGCATCCTTGGAGTCTCAACGAGTATCATTGACTGATATATTTAGCGCTAACATTTATAAATCGCAAGTATCGCAGCCGATGATCGATCGAGCGTTGGCGGACTGGGAGAAGCAAGTTGAAAATCCCTATGACAATGTCAACTTGGAAATGATGATACCAGCAACAGATCAACTTAACATCAGCAATGTATTGGTGGCAACTGTTGTCGGTATGGATTTTTGGTCTATTTGTTTAATTTGGTTCTGTAATCATGGCAACAAGATTGTTAATTGTGTAGTTGAATTGAACATTGCACATCAACCTAAATCATAGTTAACTACAAAATTAACGCCCAATCATGAGAGCTGCAATGATGCAATGATACTACCGATAGATGATTACGGTAGAAACGGGGGTTACCATATTGTGTTGCTTCAGTACTATGAAGCACATCTCAAAAATACATTAAGATTGGTTTATGATTTTCTAGGAGATTTAGCAGAAGTGGTGGTGAACCAGGGGCCGCGTGTAGGTGCGTCCGCACAACTTATGACAGTGGGCAGCAACAACCGATGGAACGATACGCTCCTGCCGCGTGACTTCTACCTCCTGCCGCAGAACAGCAATGACTGGCAGTTTACTGACGCCGAAATTTTAGCAGGCGTTGATGGTATTTAGAAAAAGTTACTGCGCCTTTAAACATTGATAAAGAACTTGTATAACGAATAAACAGACATTAATGGAAGTAAAAATGAGGTACATTTTAATGAAACGATTTCATTTTACCTCGACTAAAATTTCGTTATCTTGTCCTTCGGAGATCTTTTAAGCAATAACTGCTTTCGTTCTCATATACTGATTTCATGTGAACTAAACATGTGTATAATCACCCAAGATTGTTTTTTTTTAGGTTTAATTCTAGCGAGTTACATGCCATCGTGGATAGAACTGCGACGTTCGTTAAGGTTATCCCAAGTATTAGATAGTTACTACTCGAACGACGGCGTGCCTTTTGACCCAGAAGTGCGCGCTTGCAATCGAAATACCTTGTACAACAAAGTACTAAATAGCACGCTTCTGACTTCAGAGACGCTCAGGTTCGCACAGGTTCTGTCTCTCACACAGAATACTGTGTACATACCATTGGAAGAAATGCAAAGAATGAGTGATGCTGCCGTGACTGCGTTTATGGAATATGTTCGTAAGTATGTTATAACAAGGTTAGGTTTCTTCTTGCTTCTGCTAGATCTTGCTACAATTGTACTGTTAATCGTTCTCAGCGTCAGTATTGAGGAAATTTCACCGCAACTGTGTTACGATCGCCAGCGTGCCTGTGGTGGATCTTATAGTCGTTACAGACAGCTCCTGGCGAGGATATGATATCGAACAATTTCTGTCGTGAGTGTTTATAACTGATTATTAACTTCTAAAGATGATTTTTTGAGTGATGTAAGTCAATAGGTGTACTCTAGGCTCGAACGTTTTATTCTTTAAGATGTTTTAAGTTTTAAAGTTTGTTTGTTTAGTTGGGTAAGTGGTGCTCTAGATATGGAGGCGGCGCGGAGCACGCTGGGCGTGGTGCACGGTAACACGGGGCGCTGGGTGGCGCCGCCGAGCGACAATACCACCGCTCTATTCACACACATTGCCAACTATACTGACCCTTGTGAGTCACACAACGAGGATTAATCATACTAATCATACTAATATTCAAATGCGAACGTTTAGATGGTTGGATGGATGTTTGTTAGAGTTTGTAGCCTAAACGGCTGAACGGATTTCGATGAAATTTGGTATAGATGAAGAGGATAGTCTGGAAGAACACATAGGCACACTTGTTTTTTTAATTCCACGCGGATGGAGTCACGGGCGAAAGCTAGTCGTTTATAAAACTGATTAAGCTTATAAGATGGCCGCCATCATAAAATGCCGGTACACGTTTTAGCAACCCTCTCAATAATTCGGTTGGGTTTAATTAGTATGTTTCTATGAATAAACAAAATATGGTTCCAACAGAAAAGTGTGTTGATATTTTTAGAATCTCTTTAAATATGTAATTTAGTAGCAATATGACAATGAAATAAAAAATTAACAAATTGCTTCTTTCAGATCACCTTCAACATCAACTATATTTCTTATCCCACACATCTATTATAGTGTATATAAGGTCTGATATTGAACAGTTTCTTTGTTTTTTCTCAGGGCCAAATCGTCTTAATCTACCAAACGTGTTAACAACTGTGAACCAACATTTGCGCAATCAAACTCTGCAAGATATAAACGATAAAGCAAGCGCTGGGCGCAGTACTGTGATTCTGATAATCAGTCCCACAGACCAGCCTTCGGGCAATGAAATAGAACGTTCCAGAACTATAATGCATTCCATTAGATCGTCCTTCTTTGATGCTTATTTCGCATACGCCGCCCAAGATTTGACCAATTTCCAAAACATCAACAATGAATATTTGGATTATTCAGAAATATTTATTACGGTATGTCTGTATGTTAGGTTAAAAGCAGAGTTTTAATGAACTTCTAATTAGTAAACAAAAGACATTGTTTAAGTAAGCATTCATAGTCTTTACTGAGTTTTGTCTAGTCTATTCTAAGTACCTGAACTAACGTTTTTTTTCTTTTTTAAATAAATATGTGTTTAAAACATTACAATAATGTTCTCTTTAGTTACCCTCGACGTGCGTACAAGAGATTGCAACGGCCATTGATACATTTATGATTAAAAACGACATCCCGAAGAGGATAGTAGGTCCTGCATGTCCAAGTAACGGCACCACTTTCGATCAAATTGAGTACGAAGACTCGGTGTTGTTAAAAATGAAACGAGGATATCGAATTCATCCATTTTACTTGAGACAACAACCGCTCATTCGAATACAGGTAATAGCGCCATCTGTGATCATCATAGAGAAAAAAAAAAATTTCTGCTTCAGTTAATAAATATTTATTTTAATTAGGCATATCAACATATTTACATGATTTTATCATCATGTACTATCGAATATTACAGAAAATTGTTGAGTTGAGTTAAAATTAAATAATTTTGTCACAAATAAATTGCACTTTTTGTATTGAATATTGCACAGTCATAAGTAACGAGTTAACTATTACAGCATTTGCAATAAATAAAATCGAGTCATTGAATATTTAGCTGAACGATGAAGGAAATTTACGCGAATTGATGTTATAGCATTTATGGTTAATTTTTGACTCAATAATTTTTAGGTTCGCAACAGTAATTTCGGTACGATACTAGTGTGCATGTTCCGAGGCGCGGAGGCGTCACAAAGTTGTCAGATGATTGGTGAACGAGAAGTTCACATATTTAACCTCACCGCGCCCTGCCCTTCACCGGACTTCTGTCCGCCTGCACATTTCCATATAACTGCTACATCCACGTTAAATTCTTGCACACGTAAGTTGAATACCAGTATATTAAAATGTCAGTGTAGATGTACAATTAAAATAAGTTTTATGTTTCAGATACGGAATGCCGAAACCCAAATCAAGTGGACTACTACATCCAACATTCAGGTCTCCGCTGCCTGCCTCTGTTAGGGTCGGGCGCGGCGCCGGCGCCGGCGGACCTCTGGAATGTTCGTTTAGGACTTTCTCTTGCAATTTCAATATTGCATTTGAATCGATAGCCGCAATTAAAATACTAAATCCGCCTACTTTTTTGTATATGTGAAATAATAAATGAATTAAGCAAATTTGCTTCCATATCATTTTTTTAATATTCCAGAACCATCGCTATAATATTAAGAAGTCATAAAAAAACAAACCACATTTGAATTCACCAAACCTTTCGCTTCACACGTTACATTTTGATGCAAGGGTTTTTATAATAAATCTTACTAATCTTATTATTGTAAATGCGAAAGTTTAGATGAATGGATGATATTTTTTAGATTTTGTAGGCTGCAAGGATGTTGATGAAAAGTTTGCGTATCATTAATGCAAAAATATCATTACACGCAAAGTGAAGAAAAGCAAAAAAAAGAAATGACTCGACTAGGCCCCGGGGGGATTCGAACCCCCGATCTCCTGTTTACTAGACAGGCGCTTTAACCAACTAAGCCACGGCGCCGTTGATGATAGCGATGAAATTAAGAATTAGGATAATTTAGAACATTAAAACTATTTTGAGCTATATTCTAATCGTGATGCACATCTCGTGGTTAGCTTCAAAGTTAAATAAGCCAATTATTGCTAACATTTTTATTTGTATTACTTTTATGACATCTATGGTTACATTTTTTATAGGAAACTGAACATAGTTGTTCCTATAAACGCACAAACATTGTAACATAAAATGTTTAACCTAAAATTATTTTTCAAGAATTAAAAACACCTTTTGATACTAATCTTATTTTTTTTTTAATAACTAGTTAATTAAGGTTGCTGGCATTTTTGAATAAATCATGATTAAATACTTCTGTTGGTAAACACTTTAAAGATTGTGTACCTTTTAATTATGTTGATGGCTGTATTTTATATCGAAGTGGATTAGTACATCCAACATTTAGGTCTCTGCTGTCTGGTGCCTGGCGCCGTCCGCACATTCTGAAGTTCATTAACTTTCTCTTGTGATCCCAATATTTGAATGGATGCAATTATAATCTGCTTTTTTGATTATCACAAAAAGGTACACTTTAACAGCCCCGGAATATTTAAGTGGTCACGTGATGACATAACGTTAATTCACTTTTTTTTTATATATGTTACTGTACTGTTAAAATTAGCACGTGAAATAAGTTACAACTGTAATACCAAAGTCAAAATATTAAACGTAACGCAATCGAAACAAATAACAGATCAAAACTTAAAGTATCATTGATTAGGGAACAAATTTTTGTACTCACACCTTTAGTTGACATTGATAGATGCAAAATTAATTAATATAATAAAAATGTAAAAACGTACGCAATTAAAATTAATGGAAAACTGTTGATGCTTAATCGATCAATAGCAGTGTTAGTTTTGTCTATATTTGACAAGTATTTTGAGTTAAAAAAATCATTTAGTGGGTACTTAAATTAGGTTATGGAGGTTTTATTCCATCTCATTTCAGATATTTTTTTACTGAGTTGATAAATTTCGTTATAAAGGGTTGGAACAACTGTAATTAACAGCAAAATCAACTATCGGAGTTAACAAAATAAAAAATTATTGTTTACCCCTGGTGGGACTCGAACCCACAATCCCCGGCTTAGGAGGCCGATGCCTTATCCATTAGGCCACAGGGGCTGTGACGGCTTTTTTGTTTTTGCTGTTGTTGTTTTTGATAAAAATTATTAACAAGGATTAAATTTTAACAATGTATCATTCAATACGAATATAAGTATAATACATTATTTTACCTTGTTATAGACTATTTGTAATTATAAATTTTAAAGTTTCTAAAAGTTTTTAAAAAATTATCAGTAACAAAATTTTGTAAAAATTTTTTTACGATTTATTAGACTTGTTTTTATTTATAATGTTCTCAAAACTTATCAAGAGAATTAGAATTATATCAGTAGTCAATGCCATCTATGTCAAAACAAGTGTACATACTATGGTATAGTTGTCCTGGTTACTCGTAGATGGCGCTGAATTATATTTAATGACAATTCAGAAACCCATTGACATTTCTTTAGTTCAAATATCCGAAGACACAACATTATTTTAGTTTGACTAACTGATTTTTTTAACATTCTAACTTAAAAATTGAAGTAATTTATATTCCTAACAAAAGATTGAGTAATATTAGCAACGACTCCGTGGCGCAACGGTAGCGCGTCTGACTCCAGATCAGAAGGTTGCGTGTTCAAATCACGTCGGGGTCAAAGCTCTATTTTTTTTGTATCCATTTTGCTAATTTTTATTTAGTTCAGAATAAAAAATGCGTTTTCGCTTCGCTTCGCTCTTTTAGGTTATATAACGGTTTGTTTCCAATTACTATTAACTAGTGAAAAGTTTTTTTAGATATAAAAATGGATCCATGTTTTAATTGTTACATGCTGCATTGAAATTAAACTTGATTTTGGGAACGTCAGAAAGGTTGATTTTTGTTCGTCTTCGCTTAACTACATATTGATCAAAACTCTCCCTTCTTCCCGTGCAGCCGCATAATACTAGTTATTCTAAAAACTGTATAGCGCGAATACGAAATTTACACTAAAAAATCGTGCCATCGTAGAGATACTTCGCCTACACTTCAGTGAATTTTCAATGCTATGTCAACAAACTCAATATTTCATTGCCGACCGAGATTAAAATTTGCTAAAGCAAAATTAGTAATAATTTCTAATTTCGTCTTAACAGCTCTAGAATAAGGTTCATTTGATTTTAGCTGGAAGTAATAACGTTTCGGTATCAAGAATCCAGTGTAGACGGTCAGGTGACCGGGTACGTGTGCACCGCTGGCGCCTTTTCATATGAATCGCATTCTTGCACGCACACATGTGTAAATTGTGTTTGTGTTGCTTTTACTGTAGCTACAACCAGTTTTGTGCACGTACACGAACACGCCTTCGTTCTTTGCCTGTGTGGAATCACGGTTGTTGGTGTGCAACTTGGAGGTCATATGGCGATTGGAGTTCGTAGTGAAAAACATTTTTTTTCATTAGTAACATCCAAACGTGTCCATTTGGTTAACACTTATTAGGGTTTTCAGAACCTAACATTATTGGCACAATTTATTATAAAAGATTTCATCATCATGTTTCTTTTTTTCAGAAAAATTCCATGTTTTTAAATAAATTTTGGAACAAAATAACAAGTAGATATGGACAAATACCTAGGAATGAAATTGAATTGTACCAACATTACAAAAAATAAACACAAAATAAATGTGCAATGTTAAATATACTAGGATATATTAATGCAGTTCTTATGGAAAATATAGGAAAATAACTAACACGCGTTGAAATTAAATACATTGCAAAACATCGCTAATTTATTGCAAATAAATACAATTATTTCATTAATAATGCTTAACAGAATACTCGAGAATACAACGTATTTTGTAACAATTAAATTTAATATAACCTGTTTGGTCTGGACTGATGAGAACCAAGAAACAAAAGATTTATGTCCTAGAACGTTCTGAAATATTGTTACAACGTCGATTCGTTTTAATGTGGCTTTTAAACTAAAACCTAAAAAATGTGGTCAGTAATTAACAAAAGGGATGGTTGGATGGTGGCATTCGAAGTTCTACAACTCGGCTGTCATGTACGTCATTGGGTATTTATGATTTACTGTATGCCTTATTTAAGAGGTTATTTCCCCCGTTTAGCGGAAATCTCAAGGTTTACCGGGCATTCCATTCATCGCCTCTTGTAACCACAAATAATGTAGGTTTTTTAAACTTTTTTTATGGTAAGACAATCACACCCTGATGACTTCCTCTGTACCTATAGTTTATTTTGATTGCATAAGACAAAAAAAAACAAAAGAGCAAATTATCTGAAAATGATATAATGATGATTGCATTGGTAAGTTGTCTCGAGAATTTAAATGCTTAAATAGATGGTTCAATGTAATATTTAATGAAGAATATTACAGCATTTTGTATTTTTCAGTTTTCTCGAAGTTTCTATACAAGTTACTTTTCACACTTGCGTCGATGTGGTCCTCAGTAATCATGTTTTACTATAATAATATTATCCTCTCTTTATTTTTTGAACAAAGACCTGTTACGTGCATGAAAAATGGGCGCGGTGTTGGATTACAAAAGTGAATGGGAATTCTTCATCAATCACCAAATATTTGACATTGAGTGCGAAAAATATAAGACTTCAACTTAAGGCCAAGTTGCCCGCAAAATAGAATTGCGGAACATATACCGAGCCTAGTCTTAGTCATGTAGCTAGTTTAACTATGTGCTTGTACCTACGCAAATAATTTATTTTTGACCTTGATAGGCTTGTACATTAGGTAGCAACGAGTTGTTCAATGACGTTAATACAACTGACGCAAATCATCAAACATCCACCCAATACATCTTGATTATTGTCAATTAAGTTTTTTGTGAACTTTTCGGTTCCAATTGACCCCCATTCTAGCGGCGTGCGTGCGTCGCGGCACACAATACGACAATCATATAAAACGTTATGTAAATATTGCCACACGATATTTCGTGATTTTTGCATTAGAATGATCCGGCGGTTTGCTTCACGTACAAAACCAGTGCCGACTGATTCTTCGAAACTTATTTGTTATCCGAGCATGTTAAATATTATTTTTTTTATTAACATCCCGCCAGATACGGCCGGCTAATTCTGACAAATAAAATAAATCAACTGAAATAAAATAATGTTATTTTACATTACCAAATATAATATGGCCATTCAGTTGAGGTTGTTCTCCGTTAGGTATATGCTTGAAATTGCTAAATTGTGAATAAATTTTATTTACAATTTAGCAAATACATTTTATTATAAACGTTTATGTTGTTTCGTGTATCCTATTTACAGCATATTTCTAAAAGATGTGCCCAAGATCAAAATTGTAACTAGATTTGGTTAAAATTGCATTTCAATTTCAATTGTTTTTGGAAATTAATAATCATAATTATCTTTAATTATAATTCTTATAGCAAATATTTTGCTACACATTAACTATCGGTATCTGCCAGATAACATGGTGTAATAATTAAAACAAATATTTACCATAGTCAGTGTACTGCGCAGATGCACAGCGGATCGTTTACATG